CTTTGCCAGCTCTGACATTCTCTGATGAAGACTTTGGGGTGAAAGCTTACCCAATCTATTCCAAATAACAGAAGGCATGCTGGAGCACTCTGTTCAGTCAGCACCTTCACACTGTGATGCAACAGACAGGGACAGAAACCAAATCTCAGTGTCCTCTTACACTTCTTTAGTGCCCTATTTCTGTGCACTGATTACAACCAGTCAGCAGACATATTAATTCTCTTCCTGTCCCAGTGTTTCCCTGTACAGTAAGTTCTCTCAGCTAACATACCAGTAAGTAAATGGTAGATCTCACTGAGATGAGAACTGCATGCCTTCTTGTTGCAGAGCAGCAGGCAAACTGATGGAAATCAGAATCCTTGCATTCTGTAGCCCGACAAGCACAGACCCAGGCCACTTGGATGCTTTGCAAGGTTGCTAGCTAGCAGAGTGCACCAAGTAAGAACATCCACAGCTACAGCAGCCAGCACTGCATCCTCCTGCTTCAAGCAGAGGCAGTGAGAAGGATGGACAGTATCTGCCCCTCCTCAACACCTAGCACCCAGATGTCTCCATGCTTTTGCCCCAGGCCCCAGGACCTTGCAAATAGCTTTGACACACCAATTTAAGGAAAGAATGTCACAGCTGTAAGAATTCAGGAGTTCCTGAAGGGGGAATGGTTTTAAACTAAGTCAGGGGAGGTTTAGGTTAGATATTAGGAGGAAGTTTTTCACACAGAGGGTGGTGACACACTGGAACAGGTTGCCCAAGGAGGCTGTGGATGCCCCATCCCTGGAGCATTCAAGGCCAGGCTGGATGTGGCTCTGGGCAGCCTGGTCTGGTTGTTGGTGACCCTGCACATAGCAGGGGGTTGAAACTAGATGATCATTGTGGTCCTTTTCAACCCAGGCCATTCTATGATTCTATGATTCCTAATTTTCATGGCATGCAGGGTCCTGTTATCCAAGGCCTTCTTTAAGCTGCATGTCATTGTGTATTTATAGCTTCTTCCTTCAGTTCTAGAATGTTTTCCATTTTAAGAAAGAAAAAAATCTGATCAAGTGTAGGATCACATAAAACCCATAATTCAAAAATACCAGCAGCTGATAGCATTGTACTAGTGAGTTAGAAGATGAAACTGTTCTTTTGTTATTCTATTTTTCTTTAAATTCGCTAAGTTGCTGAAGCTGCTGTGATAAGAGAAGACTGAGAAGGACAAACTGAGTAATCCTTCCATCTCGCTTTATCACTTCCAGACACAAAGGTGTAAAACTGCAGTGCTTTTCCCTGCCTGGTGCCTTCAGGTGCTACAGAAGGAAAAACAAAGCACCCCATTTAATATTACCTCCCTGAAAAGCTGGAAACTCAATGTCATTCAAAACAAATTGATTTGCAAAGAAAAAAGAAAGAAAAACCTCCCTTGCTTTAAAAAAGTGGAGTTAAAGTGTATTTTTATCCACAGAATATAATAAACTGTTGATAGAGACTTGCTTTGCAGCACAGAGCTGAAGCACTTTTTAATAACTCTGTGTACTTTCCAGAGTGTGGTTTCCCCTTGGAAATTCAGACCTGCACATTGTACCTAAAATCATAAGGGTATCAATAAAAGACAAAGTTGCACTTGAGTCCTTTGTCTTTTTAAAGTGCTTCCATCTTGGTTTTGTGATAGCTCCATTGGTTCATAGAGATACATCACAAACCCTTACCATCTCATACACGTGGGGGTTTCTGTTCTGTCCCTCTCTTCACATACTGCCTCAGCTGACTGATGAATTCTGCCTCGAACCAGCTGACACCAAGGAGACTGTTGAGAAAAGTACCAAGGAAATCTGTGTCTAGTTTTATCGCATGCTCTTTGAGCATCAACAGGCTAAAAACTGGTATGCCTTAAGTAAATACACTCTGTGAGGCTCGTTCAGGGACACTAAGAGGCAATGCTGACAAACTAAAGAAATCCCACAGTGCCTCTTATCTCTGTTTTGACACAAACATTTCCCAACTCATCAATTTCATTTTCCTCTTCAATTATTTCAAAAGCTGACAGAATTTAAGGCATCTCTAATGAGTACAGCGAAGCTTGCTTGAGTATGTTCTCCGAATTCTGATAACCTCCTGCATCCTGAAGGGCACCCTGACACATTGCTGTTGATCTGTTTCCTACAGATGCAGCAGGAGAAGCTGTGAGTTGCAAGAGGAGTCCAGCTGGCTCCAGCTGGGGCTACACCAGGCACTGCTGGACATGTAAACCTGGAAACCACGGGAATGACTCCTCAATCCTCAACAGTATGAGAAACAACACTGCTGATTGCTTTTGCAGAAACACCTACTCATGTTTTGCAGAAACATTTACTAATACATTTATGCTACTCTCCCAGCTGCTGTCCGTATTTCCCCAGGTGCTGGCAGACCCGTTTGCCTCTTTCTGAACTGCCAAGGTTTCTAATTCCTCCCATGCTGCAAATCATCAAACAGAGGTAGGCATTTTACACTCCAAATTTTGCAATACTCAGTATTCACACTTTACAGACACAGAAAATCAAGTTACCCCAGAATTACTGCACTGATGACACCATTTCCTTTCACGTGTTTTTAGAAACTTCTGTTTTAAACGCATTTCAGAACAGCCTTATCTTCTGCACTGCACTTTGGGAGAAGCCACAAAATCCACCTGCAAAATGCTGATCAAATAGCCAAGATTTTGCAAGTGACTGCACAAGCAGACCCCAGTCCAGCCCTCATCATGCGGGGCAATCAGAGAATCATTAAGGTTGGGAAAGACCACTAAGATCATCAGCTCCAACTGTCAGCTCATCACCATCACACAATGGAGCAGGAGCGGAATGGGAAGGACAAGGAGAATTCCAAGGGAGTTGTGCTGACTGTAGAATGAACAGCAGCCCATGGAAATGTCAGAGTAAAGGTAATGCCATCTTCCTTAAGGAACAATTTTGACTATGAATATTTCACTGTAACAAAATGGACAACTGAATGGTTTCCTTCCACTTCTGCATAGCCTCTCTGTGCTCTTTACTTTACATCCTCGGTAGGAGAAGACTGTATGTTCAATAGCACGAGCATATTACATTTGATTGGTTTATGATTGAATTTCTCTCTCTCCTGTGATTGTTAACTCTATTTCAGAGTATGCAAAGCTGGGAAATTAGGTAGTTTTTTCTACACAAGTAAATTACAATCCTGGCACACTCAGCCATCCTTCTACTTTCTCCCAGCGTGGATTCGCACATCTAAGTCGATGACAATTCAGTGTTTTGGGTTGACACAAAATGAACACATTTTGGTTCATCAACACCCACAGTTCCAGGAAGGCACTTCTAGATGCATGAAAACATAAGATAAATCAGCTGTGCATTGCAGTATACATGGCACATCTAATGAGCCACAGCCAGTCTTTGGCTGCTAAGGAGGAGCAACACACTACAGCTATGCAGGATGTGCTACACAAGTGAAAACAGATCTACCTACAGCACCTTTGCATTCTGCACAGTGGGTGCTTGGCAGGGTTTCAGCCTGCAGCACAATTACTTGCACAGCACCAGTTGGGTACTGGCTGTGCTGGCATCAAACTGCACATCTGCAACCAGGACTGGAGTGAGTGGATGTTCGGGGAGGCAGCAGCCATTCATTAAATATTGACACAAACAGAGAGATGGTCTGTTATTGGGCATTGATGAGTTCAGTTCAATCCTGCTTAGTCTGAAATGTAGCCTTGCTACTTCAATAAATATTTTTGTGAGGCATTTCCATAATTTAATCGCATTTTTAGCTTCTCAGTAATAGCTCACTGCCCAGTCTGTTATTACAAAGCTCCTTCTTTTCTGTCCTTTGATAACCTCCTGCCATGACTGTGGATACTGAATGAATCAGCAGCCACGTAACTTATAACACAGAGCTGTTGACAGCCTGCAAGACAGGACAGCCTAAGGTGCCAGCAGTTACCATCCCTGGGGAGCTCAGGAGCAGGTACAAGGCACTCACAGTCCTACCCAAGCATCAATGTTTCTGCAGGAGGTGCTCCAGGCTGGAGCAGCAGCTCCCTGCAGCCAAGGAGAGGCCCGTGGAGGAGCAGGCCGTCCCCTTGCAGCCCACAAGCAGAGCACAAAGCAGCTCTCCACATGCAGCCACAGAAAAGGCCACAGGGCAGCAGTGGATGAGGCCTGGAGGAGGCACAGTCTGTGGATACCCCTGCAAGAGCAGCCTGGGCCAAAGCTGCAGCCCATGGAGAGAGGTCTGTGGAGGGGCAGGAAGGCTGGAGGAGCTGCCACCCAAAGACAGGAGGTAGCAGGGGGTGGAGAGGGAGAAGGTGGTTTTAGTTTGCTTTCAGTTCTTGCTGCTCTCGTCTTTTATCAGTAGGCAATAAATTGCATTAATCTCCCTCTATCAGGCCTGTTTTGCCTGTGACAATAACTGGTGAGTGATTTCCCTGTCCTTATCTCAGCCTTTGAGCCCTTTTCCATCATATTTTCTCCCTCTCTTCCCTTGAAATGGGGAGTGAGTGTGGCTGCAGTGAAGTTCAGCTGCCGTCAGGGTGAAATCACCAATTAAAAACACAGTGAAAGAGAAGTTTACAAAGTTGCTATGAAAACAAGCAACAAGACTGTCAGCTGCCTATAAACTCTGGCGTCGGCAGACAGACAATTACCACCACTCCAACCACAGGAAGTCCCTACCTCATCAATGACAGAACCAAGCACACCTGCTCCCTTGCCTTTAATGATCAGCCAACTCCTGTCCCGAGCCTGCCTCCTTTCAATGATTAAAGAGCTCCAAGGCGAGTGCCGGTAATAATGTTACATTTTTCCCTTCTGCAATGTAATCTTTGCCCCTTGGAAAGTGCTGATGAGAGCTTGCTCCCACTTAAAACTTACATAAAAACCAACCCGTATCCTGTTGCGTGGAAAAGGACTGGTACCCCAGTCAGGCCACGAGAGACACGGAATTACTCCAGTGCAGAAATGATACACAGCCCCACATCAGCAGCAAACAGGCTTTGATGCACAGGCTTTGGAGGCTAACGACACGCAAGTGATAAAGCAAATGAGCGTTTTAATGATGACAAATAGAGGAGGACATGCAGCGTTGATGGGGGAACATGGCTTCCAGCAAGGAGGAAGATTTACGGGAGCTAATTACGGTACATCAGATTTATGGTGGAAAAGCAGAAAGAGGAAAAACTTGGGGAAGAACTTGTGTGTGTCACCCGGGAACAACCGTTTCCCTTCAGACAAATGATGTAACAGCAGCTCAACGCACGCTCCCAGGTGGCCTTTTTATGCCTTTGGCACTGACGTGTGTGCAAAGCCTGAGGCGTGCGTGAGTCTGTGGAAGTTAAATAGACCCAAATTAGTTACAGGGAAAACACAGATTTGTAGCCGCCATGAAAGAATGCCAACAATTAGCGCTTAGATTGGTGTTCAATATACTTGGTGTTCAACATACACGTGCGTTTTTAATTAATCGTGTGGGGCAAACCCAGCAGGGTGCTGCCCTCCCACCTCAAAGAGATCTCAGCGGGGGCTTCGCATTTATCAGCGGCAATCAGAACTCGGCGCAGCAGCCTGGAAATTTGTTAACAGAAGCCACGAGGACAAACGTGAGAAAACCGGCACTTCAGCCCTCAGGTCCGACAGGTGCCAAAGAGAACTCACGTGGCTTAAAGACCCCTTTAGGCCGGAGCAGCCGGCGCTGTACGAGAAGTTTGAGAAGCGAGGGGGAAACCCGCAGCCCGTCCGCACACAAACGCCCACGAGCGAACCTCCCCACAGCGCCCGCAGCTCCCTTCGCCCCAAGACGCGCCCCGAAATGGCGGCGCTGCGGCCGGGATAAGGGGGTCCGCTTGGAGCCGCCCCTCCGCCCGGGCCTCCCCGCACAGTCACGGAAGGCGCCGGGCCGGGCGGAGCCGCCTTAGCTCACCTGGGCCCCGCGCGAACGGCGACGCCGCAGCCCTCCGGCGGCGGCAGGACAGCGGTGCCCGCGGCCGGCAGCGCCCGGGAGGCGACGGAGAGCGACCCGGGCGGCAGCGGCCCATTCGCGGAGCCAAGCTGCGGACACCTGCGGGCCGCCCGCCCCGCTCCTCCCCGCCGGGCCCGGCCACGCCCGGGGCTGAGGGTGAGGCGCGGGCGGCAGCGCCGCAGGGGGAGGCGGCATTGGGCGCGGCGCTGAGGTGAAGGGCGGCGGCGGGGCAGGCCGGGGCTGGAGGACGGCTTCTGGGCCGAGTCCGAACTGGTCGGAAGAACGGACAGAAGTGGCACCTGTGGGGGTAGTTTCCCGCCTCGGACTGAATCTGTTTCAGTATTTTCTCTCTGGCTTCAGTTTCAGCACGAGCACCTTTTTGTCCCTCTGGCGTAAGTCTGGGGACTGTGGTTTTGCGTAGAAAACACGAGGATTGCCTGCAAGCAGAGAACAAGTAGCATGCTGCATTGCTTTGCTGTTCGAGGTGAAAGTGTTGGAATGAGCATGCTTTGCTTTTGTATGACACTGGTAAGGGAAGCTGAAGTGAACATGGAAAGCTGGCATAGGCTCCGTGTCAATGAGACATGGAATCATTCAGGTTGGAAAAGAGCCCTCAGGCCATCGAGTTCAACCTCCAGCTACCCCCACTGTGCCCCCTGACCACATCCCTCAGTGCCACATCCACACGGTTCTGGAACACCTCCAGGGACCGTGACTGCACCACCTCCCTGGGCAGCCTGTGCCACTGCATCACTGCTCTTTCTGAGGAGAAAAATTTTCCTAATATCCAACCTGATATCATTTCAGAATTACTTCTAGAGCAGCCACCGCAGGCCTAGAGAGAAATTCAATTATCCATTTTACTTCTGTTGAGTTGTACTACTTTTAAAACTTGCAAGCCATCCTGTCAACAGTAATTTTCAAAAAGACTGTGTGCAGGAAGGCATATCTGTCTAAAACAAACTTGCAAGGCTGTACTGCAGCTCTGACAACAACGGTTTTTGCTTTGTGTGCTCTATAATTGCTTGGGTGTAGGCTCCGTTCAAGATAAAAATGTTTGCCCTTCCCCATCAGGAAATAAAATAAAATAAAAATACATGTGGGAGAGCCTAGAGAAAAGTTAAATTACAATTTACTAGAGAGTCAGGTGAAAACTGTTGGATGGAGACATCCTTTCAGGCTATGTCGTATACATCATACTTTAATTGTAATAAACTTTGTTTCCTCAGAGTTTATGAATATAACAGCTGACCCTTGTCATGAAAAGAGAATGTATGTTTCAGCACAGTCAAACCAAGTCCATCTCATCAAGCTGTTTTTCTTCTTTGTGGAAAGCATCCAATGCATAAAATCAACTGTGAAATATTTTTCCACGTGTTTAGGTAAGTGTATGTGAATGCCATAGCAGCTGTGATTCACTCATCTTCATTCCACATACTCCCTCTGCTGGAAATGAATGTGAAAGGCCAGAGGATCGGAAGGAGAGATGGAGTGCAAGATATGTTAAAAATAATAATAATAAAAGAGCTTCTTTCATTAAAAGATCACACACTCTACAGCCTGTAGTGGTACTGACTGACTCAGAGGACAAGGAAGAAAGTAAAACTATATGTCATTGCTAGTATTTCCAATGCTATCCTACACCAGGAGCACTCCTTTCAGCCAGGGGCTAAAACCACTGTTTTAACACTGGCAGTACAGTCTGAACTCAGATTGCAAGCTGCTAAAGACCAAGCTTCATTAGTGACCGAATGCAAAAATATCTGTGAAAAAAATCTGGTTTGGTTTACTTTCAGTAGAAACAGCAGCACAAATCAGAGATACATAGTTTGACACGCTGCTGAGATGTTGTCCCCATGGATTTTAGGAAAAGCAGTGAAATACTTCTACCCAGCAAAACAATGAATTCCTCCTCTTACACAGAACTATACCCCTGGCAGAGATGCTGTCCCACATAATTAGTAGCTTCCATTTCTTCTAGGATAAAGAGTGTACGGATGGAGGATACAAGATCCACTTCATTTTTTTTTCCTTCAAATCCTAACAGCTATTTGCACTCAAGTAAAATAACTGCTGTTGGTAAATGGTAAGAGGTTCCACTGCCATAGCTGAGCAAAATCAATTGAAACAGCTCCAAAACCAGTGGCTAGAAATTACAAAAACTGTTAGTGCTGCAGGAAAGCTTGAATACCTTAAAAAATACTATAGGGTCCTCTGGTATACAAACAGGTAACTTTAAACCATCATGTAGTATCTGAGATCAAGTTTAACATGCTCTTATTTCATAAAAAACACAAATAGTATTTTCAGGTTTGCCTACATAAAAATATTGTGGTAAATGGTAAATTTAAAAAAAAATTTAAGAAAGTGAAGTTTATAAGATGGCATTGTTGACAGTAGTAAATAAGAGTCACAAATGTAAACAAATCATAACTACATTTTGGTATGTATTTATTTTCAAACACCATGGTATAATAAAGCAACAGCAGTAAAGCAATAAGGAAATAAGACATGATCACTACAACTTTAACAAAGCTCAATTAATCTTCTTTTATCTTTCAGTTTCTGACTTTGCAGAGATCTTGCCACTACAGTGCTCTCTGAGTATCCCCACCTGAATTATTTTTGTTAACCATGAATAATCAAACAGCAACTAATTGCTGTCAGAAGTCACTGGAATATTATATACCATTGTGACTGAAAAAGCTCTCTTCAGTCCCATCTCTTTCCTGATGATCTCTCTGCAATATGCAGAGACACAAATTCCTCATTTCCATGTTTCCTAAACAAAAGCTAACCCTGGTAATAAAGGCTATGAGTTGACAAAAAGCACTTTTTTACATCTTGATATTTTTAACCTCATATTCCCTTAATTGCTGAAGAATGTTGAGCTTTTACCTTCTGTAACATTTGGCTAGGGAGCACACAGTTACTGACTTTTTATGATCTTATAGAGAAAAGTTACCTTTTTTGCTATGAAGGAGTTATATCTTAGGATATGTCTCTCTGCACAGCTCATCCACTCCCAAGAAGAATTCAATTTTATCTATTTCACATTCATCTAACCTCACCTTCTCATCTTTTATCAGTATGGTAAGATGACTGCAAAACAAACAAATGACTCTTTCTCATGTTCTGAGATGACTTAGATGATCACCTTCTCTTGTACCTTTTAGTAACTGCAAAATAAGGAAAGGTATAACGTCATTATGTCTGATTCTGCTGTCTCTATTACTTCAAGCCATCTCCTTAATACTGGTGACTGCTGAAACATCTTCTGTGGCTGAGTAAGAATCCCCCGAATGAAGAATCAGGACCTGCAAACCAAAACCGGGCCACCTATACTGAAGAGTAAAGTATCACTACATTACAGATACATTTTAATATTTTACTTTTTTTTTTTTTTTAATACATTACTCATCAAAATACTTTCACAGGCTCTTTAAAGAAACCTGTTCCTAAAAAACAACAGAGGATCATATCTATAGCTCATGTTAACACGTTTTAAAAAGTAGTTGGGAGCATTTATATAGATTATGCTGTTTCAAACCATTACTTGACATATTAATTTTAATGCTTAGGAGTCAGATTGGCACAAACCAAAGGCATGCAAAGCACAAACGAGATATATGTTCAAACCATTACCAACTTGATTTTGCTTTTGAAAATAAGCTGGAGACCATTTTAAAATACTTTGACAAACAAAGCAAAAAAGATGAATCTATTGAAGAAAAAAAAGTGAAACCAAGAAACCAAGAAGTGGGTAATTTTCTATTTTAAATAGGAATTACTTATCTATTTCTGGAGTCAGAGGTAGGGATTTTTCAGCTGATTTGTAGGAGAGAGTTCTACATTTTCTCTTGCAATTGCTGTTAGAGAATGTGTAAAACTGACAAATAATATGGCATAGTAGCTGAAATTCTGAGCAAGTCTAATTTCCAGTAAATATAACCAAGCAGTTCTCATTCATATTAAAAAAGCTCTTTGATTAGAAAATTAGTGCAGTTTTAATAAAACTCTCAGAAACTGAACACACTCCAAGTGTATATGCATATCAGAAACATTAAAAAATGCACATCTCCATAGATAGATATCACATTGTTGTATCTCCTAGCATTACTATACTATTTTAGACAAATTAAGAAGTAGTTCAGGTTTTAAGAGGGGAAAAACAACAACAACAAAAAATCTCTGCCTATATTGAGATGGCATAGCACTCTTTGAAGTGCATTCTTCACATAGTCCAGCAAAAATACATCGGTTGCTCTGAAAGTAATACCTCCTTTTTATTTCCATGGAAACTACAATAGATACAAGAAGCACAATAACACTATCCGTAGAGCAAATTCTTAGCTACAAAACCTTATTTTTCAACATAGCCACAATCAATAGTTAGGTGTTTTCACCAACAGTGAAGAAGACTCTGCATATTGCTCTGGTAACAATCTGCCACTGCTGAAATGCACCACACATCACCTCACCATGCTCACATCCACTGGTTTCCATAAACAATCAGCAAGCATCTGTGAATGCCATTTTTCCAGAATTCAATGACGCACCTTTACTTCATCTGCACTTCCATGTCAGACACTGCTGTGTCAGACCACCCCTCTGCTGCCATCTGTCACACAGCAACAACATGTAATGGAATATTGGTGGGAAGGTTCAACCTCTACTGCCATCCCACCAACATCTGCCTCTGTCATCATGGGCCAACACCACAAAATAGGAGGTATCACTTTCAGCGTAGCCCTCACGCTTTCAAATTATAACACCTGAACGTAACACCTTTTTCCTCCAATAAAGTTTCATATCATTATTTACTATCCTGTTTTTTAATTATATCACTAACCTTTTAAAATAATGCACAATGTTAAAATTACAGTACAATGTGAGTACAATCAATGTAACCTGAATTTTTTTGTTTACAGAGATGGATGTGCCATGCAACACAAAAGTACATGAGCTGGGAGGGGAAGGAAAGGAAGCTATCCATACCAATTTCTTCCCATTGAACAACAAAGAGTGTATATAAATTCATGCAAGTATTTGTGAAATAGATTTAATGAAATTAAGCATTCAGCAGGGAAAAATGATAATTGAATGCAAATTAAACTTGAACTCTCCAAATGGTGTGCAGAGTCTTCACAGGCCATTCTGAATATAATATTAGAAGTCCTTGAATGAAGTATTCCTAGAAAACAAAACAAAACATAGTCTAATTTTGTAGTGAACATAGCATAGATTCTGAGGTTACCATGAACACAATTTAAGGTTTTGATTCTGAAAATACTATGAGCAGGCTTCCTGTCTCTTCCAAAGTCAGTCCAGATAGATGATTTGACTTCATTGTGCAAATATGCTACAATGCTTTTTGAAGGGAAGGGCAAGCTTTGGACTCCTATCAAAGAAAATGTACAACAAAGGTCTTTCCCACCAGGTCTGCAAGATGTGCTACAACGTGCATTCTTTTCATTTTACTCATACAGGGAGTCAAGACAGAGTAAAATGGGAGAATAGGAAAAAGTTACCATCCAATTTTTTTATGATATCACATTCTTAATATAATGAAAAGGCGATTGCCTGACCCATCTCTTATCTTAGGATGTGTGCTAAAATAGTGCACAAAATACTGTAGTGTCAGAAGGGTGTCAATGGTAATTCCTGCACTGCTGTCTCAGGGTTTTAGATATTGGTTGCAGAAGATTCCTCTACACCAAGAAGTTATTGTTTCTACTGTATCTTTCTGAATCCCCAAGTAAGACATCTTGAAGCATCTAACAATGAAATTTCAGCTCTTGGAAGACTTTTCTAGTAATTTCAACTATTCTGTATTGATGCAAACAAGAAATGAGTTGAACTCATAATCTAGTTTGTAGAAGATCAGTCTGGATTAGGATTCGACCAAGAAGGCCAGTGGCATCCTGGCTTATATCAGGATGATTGATCAGTGGTGAATAGGACTAGGGAAGTAATCCTGCCCCTGTACTTGGCACTGGTGAGGCCTCACCTCGAGTACTGTGTTCAGTTTTGGGCACCTCAGTACAGAAAGGACATTGAAGTGCTGGAGCAGGTCCAAAGAAGGGCAACAAGGCTTGTGAAGGGCTTGCAGAATATCCCCTACGAGGAACACCGAAGGAACTGGGGCTGTTTAGTCTGGGGAAGAGGACACTGAGGGGAGACCTTATTGCTCTCTTCCAATATCTGAAAGGTGCTCATAGCGAGAGTGGGGTTGGTCTCTTCTCACTGGTGACAGGATGAGGGGGAATGGCCTCAAGTTGCACCAGGGTAAGTTTAGGTTGGATATCAGGAAGCACCTCTTTACAGAAAGGGTTGTTAAGCACTGGAATAGGCTCCCCAGGGAGGTGGTTGAGTCACCATCCCTGGATGTGTTTAAAAACTGTTTGGATGTGGTGCTCAGGGACATGATTTAGAGGAGGGTTGTTAGGGTAGTATGGCTAGGCTGTGATTGGACTCAGTGATCTTTAAGGTCTTTTCTAACCTGAGCAAATGATTCTATTATTCTATGATTCTGTGATTCTATGGATTTGATATTTAACTAGCCTGTTACTAATTAGAAAGGAATATTTTTCTAATATCAGTCTGATAAGAAGTTGAAACAAATAGGAACAGCATCATAATTGTATAATATCAGTATAGATGACAACATAGATTGAATTGATTGAATTCTCTTTTCTTTATATGATATCAAAAATAAAAGAAAATGTGATGATTGAACAGTCCCAAATGACACAGAGCTTATTTCAACAAATGTAAGAGCTACACTACACTCAGGTTAGGAAGGAGTAGACATCATTCTTTCAGAGGATGAAGGGACTGTACTTGATACAAAAAACTGACAACAGCTATCAAATTACAGCCTTACACTGCTGTGTTTTCATGTTAAGGGCCCTAGAACCAGCTCACTGACACAAGGAACCTTGCCTCCTATTCTAAGGACTTATGTACTTAGAGCTTTCGATAACGAAGATGAATTAAGTGGCAAAGGTAGTAATCTCATTTACCAAAATATTAACAAGATTCATCTCAGAAGTACGTAACCAATTCAAAAGCAGACAGCATTTCCTGAAAGTAATGAAATGAGAATTTCACCCACTCAACTGGCAAATATTTTTATTGCATGCTGCCATCAGCCTCTGTATGAACTGTGAAGCAAAAAGCAGACAGCTACCAAACATAAAATTAATCTAAGACTAAAACTGACAGGGGAGTAGATGTAAGTGGTGGAGGCTCCATTTCAGTGACTGCTGGAAGGAAAACTGTTTTTTTTTTCTTAAAACAAGATTACAAGTGTTTGAAAACTTATAGAATGCATTTAAATATGGTGTCAAGTTGTGTAATTGAGCCAATATTTCAACAAGAAATAAGAGTTCATCCTTTTATTTAATTTGTTTTCAGTACTTGGAACTTAAACATTGTTGAGCTACTTACCCTTCCAGGGAACTGTCCAGAGACCAATCAGGAGGCGGATGATGAGCACGTTCAGGTGACGATGTTCTTAATGTAGAGCTTAACTGATATGTGACCGTACGGTTCTGGCATCGAAGTTCCTGTACAGCACGTTCCCTACATAAAAATTATTAAACACTTTTAAAAATCAAAGTTATCACACAGTCATTAACTTTTTCTTTGTTCTTTTTACTATATATTTTTTTAATTTTATATGGAGATGTGGTGTTTATCATACACTTCTCTAAAAGACAGGTAACTCTTTCTGCATACTGTTCTTACAGCTAACTTACAGGCTGCACAACGAAATGTAACTTTGCTCTTTCCAAAACAATTCAGGTGATTGTGTTTGTAAATAACTTGAAGTAGAAGAGAAATTGTTTTCAAGAATGATAATGGAGGATCTCTGATTCATAGTGAGGCAACACTAACATATAGACACACACTAATATTTATCAGGTGAATAAGCTATAAATTAAATCTTGATATTACTGCAACTGTAAACAACCATGTGAGTAACAAATTATCCTTAATTAGGAGAAGAGCTTAAGTATGGAGGCTGATTTTGCTTTTTGACCATGAACGCCCTAAGAAGAAGCATCAGGGAACAACCAAAAAGCACAAAATGGATGCACTCACACTGGAGTAGGGAAACAACTGCTCAGAGAAGAGCGAGACTATTTTAAAACAGAAGTACTGCTACATTAGCATACTATGTGGCTTATTTTGTGCAGCTGAAGAAGTACACGTGATGCTACCTTTTTAATTGACTCACACATCTAACCCCAAAGTTCTGCAGCTTTTGCCCTGACTTCAGGGTAAAGAAGAAAACAATTTGAAATTGAAACGTACACTGTGACATTTGAGAAATGTATCTTTAAAAGACCTAGCCTCAAGTGTAGATGTTTCCCCCTCAAAACTCTCATCCTTATGAGTGAATAGAGTATCAACAAACTGATTTGCTACAATTAAACAAAATACCTGATTCTCAAGCATGCTATAATCACATCACTACTTCTTCTATCAATTTCTTTTCACTACCTAAAATAATACTTGGCAATGTAACATTTTTAACCTCAATACATCTATGAAATAGAAAAATCTTGCTATTTTTGTTTCATAAAGAAACTGTTTAAGATGCCAAGACTAAATAGATAAGCCAATTAGCAAGACAGGCCTAGGACTGTTTCTTGTACTATGGCTAATTCACCTGAAACAATTTGTACCTACTGTTAAACACTCTCACTCTGCCTATTAAATAAAAAACTAAAAAGGTGATTTTCTCCATATTGACACCTTCTGTGCTCCACACAGCACCTGGGAGAACGCAGATTGGTACAGGCTAAAATTGTTTCATTGTGTCAGTACAGACTAATTAGAGACAAGTATGCAACAAGATACCTAGACTCTCACTTGAAATAAGTGCATGTTCAGGAAAATGTCCCATCCCATCCTAAAACAGACTATTTGAGAAGCAAGTTTATTTCAGCATCTCATTGCATTGGCAGACAACTAATGTAGACAGAACATGTAACAGTTTCAACACCATGGCATGAGTAGCCTCTGAACACATAGTAGATGAAGAACAGAGCAAAGCCAAACTTTGCTGTTTATCCTTTTAATTAGACTAAGTCTTAGTACTGCATTGTATTTCATCCCATTTAGATGGAGGAAACATAATACAAAAATATGTACTTGCCTTTCAAACCTCTCAGTTGCCAGCTGTCTTCTGGTGATATCCAGTTCTGACTCTAGCTGAGCTGTTGTATTTTTGAGCTGAGTGAAATCTCGACTCTTCACAGTGCTGTAAAGTTCACACACTTTAATTAGATAGCAGCTATAATCCTCAAATATGTTACCAAATAGAATTATGCAAAATGAAAAGGGCAGCTATACCATGCTACTGATTCCCTTCTGGAGTAAAATGTGTGCAGAAAAGTATTTTAGGTTACAGCTGAGGAATTAGAAGCAGGTCGTTGTTACCTTCTGCTATTAAGGTATCCAAGGTACTTTGATCATTTGAAAATGCAGCTAGATACTAGATAGACGTGTGTATACATGCACATCTATGTGTATGTATGTATACATGACAAGAATTTAAAATCAAAACAAAACCAACTGCAATGTCCTCCTGGTCATTTACTCACAGTTTATTTTCTGCTAAAAAAAGTTGTTCCTTGAGAAGCTGAATTTCAGAGTCTTTTTCTTGCTCTGCAATCTGTGACTGAAGTTCTCTCTCACGATTGGATGCAAGCAAAGATTCCAGATTTTTCAGAGATGCTCTTTCATTTCCCAGTTGTTTTCTCAGCAGCTCTATTTCAGAATGGGATGAATCACATTCACTCTGCAGCTAAACAAAGTTTGTAACATTTCAGATGTATGTCTGCTGAGTTCAGTAGTCTTTAAAAATTAAAGAAGTTTAGTACTGATGACCCAAATTTGTTCTTACTCCAAGATGGTTCAACACGGTTGATTACTGTCATATCTGACCTCAATTAAAATCCTGTTTTGGATTTCATAGATATGCATTGAGTGAGTTTATAACTTAGGCATACTTGATACAAATAAGAAACTCTCTGAAATAGAATCGTATAATCACAGAACATCCTGAGTTGGAAGGGATCTCAAATGCTCCTCCAGGGGTCTTCCAGACCCCTTAACACCTTTATAGCCCTCTTTTGTGTATTTTCTAACAGTTTTATGTCCTTCCTATATTGTGGCACTTAAACCCGCACCCAGTGCTTGAGGTGAGGCCTCAGCACAAAGCAGAGCACTTTTTTACTTTACAAAGCAAAATCCAAATTATTTGGTCTTAATGAATTAAAATGAGTTTTCCTTATTCTGAAAAGCCAATTTTCCACCATCAATCAAAACTATAGTTCTCTTGCCTATAAACAGTTTTGATATTCTACTTCTGTATTTCAGAACAAAAGAATACTAAAAATCGTATAAGTTCTGTGAAAAACACTATTAAAACACTGAAAGAACAATATAATTTTAGCATCAGCATTCAGAATCTTCACTAAACTCTCCAGCTGCATTTCTGTATTTTCCTATCCTGAAACTCTTGCTTCCCTCTACGATCCTAGCAAGTCTCTTCACTGACAATTTCATAGAAGAATTACTGCTATTGTTTCCTAAAACTGTCAAGCATTCTAATGTCCATATCAGGTTTCTTTGCCAATAAACTATTCTAGCTATTCTGCCTAGTAAGTGGCTGAATGTGAAATCCAAGACATCTGTCAAGAAAACAATTAGTAACATTACATCCTGAATTTCAGTACTCAATGCAAAACTTTGTAAAGCAGTGATGGTACAGACAGTACACAATATCCGTGCTCCAAGGAGTATGTTTCTGAGGTATGCTAAATTAAACATTAAAAAAAGAAAGAGGCACTGATCATCAGTAGAGATTTCTTTGATCATTCTAGATCTGAAAGTAGTTTGAGATCCCTTTAAGTATAACATTAACATAAAATTATTTTTTAATTTTATTTCACATACCCTTTCTACCTTCTCTGATGTGGAAGTTAACTGCTGACTTAATAGTTCTTTGCCTGCATCTAATTTAATGCAAAGTTCTTGCGTAGATACGAGATTTGCAAGTATAGAGACTCTCTCCTGATGTATGTTTTGAAGCTCTCCTTCCATTTTCACAATAGACTTGTGTAAGGTAGAAAGTTGAGACTGGTATGCTTCTTCTGTTGCTAAATGCTATAATAAAGCAATATCAGATAATCAAAAGTGTATTGCAAAGAAATTATAAAACTGCTTCCAAATTCCTACAAAAATATTGTAGTGATGATTTTTAAGAGGTGGCAGTTGTTTATTCTGGATTAAATTTTAAAGTTATTGCTTTAAATAACTTTTGTATATAAAACAAGTAGAAAAAAGATTCTTGCTTCTGATAGCAAATTCAGCTACCAACATTTTAAACTCTCTTCTTAGAACCTCTTTTTTTTAAAATAAAATGTATTCTTGCATGTAGAAGAGCACTGAATGCTCAAATACTGTCAGCCATGTTCATGTTGCTGTCACCCATAAACTCAGGCATGATGAAGAGCTGACAGAAGCCACATTAAAATGAAGTTTACAAGCCAGCAGCAGCAGATCTGACTAGAAGCACTCTGAATGTTGTGTATGTTAAAAAACATAACCTCGATTTTTCCCTTTTGAAAAAATGCCTGTACCTTAGCCAGTCATAACTGTCTTGTATTTCCAACCACTTTTAACCATTTAACTGTCAATGTGGCTGAGCATGGAAGTTTGACAAAGGCAATGGGAGCAAAGAGGCAAAGCAACAACTTCTCCGAAAGATTTCTTATGACTGAGATGGAAAAACATGGTTGTAGGGGGAATAAATTACATAATTCCAGCTTTGACTTGGCCAAAATAAATAAATTAAGGAAAAAAAAAAAAAAAAAAAAAGCACAAGGGCATAACTAAGCACACATCAAGATTTCTGAATTAAAATTAGCATGTTTAAGACACATGCCTTAATGCAACTGCTACGAACCTGAGCATGATATCCATCTGCAATTCTGACTGCATTTGTTGACACATGAAGAGGTCTGTTTATTCCTATAATTAATAACAGACGTGGGAAGGAGGTAGAAAGATAAAATCTTTACCCATTTGAGGCTGGTTAGACAAACTAGGACCACAAGCCAGCTTCACTATATTAAAAATCTGCCACACAGTTGTCCTATACTGGTTTGCTACTGTTCTCATCCTTCTTTATGAACAGCTGCAGATCAGCTTCTATTGACTATCTAATGTGCATGAGAAGCCCTCAATAGCCTCTGCAATATTTAGGAAGCAGAGATGATTTGTGGCAAAAACAGCAGCCCCAAACCAGAACACAATTTAAATGTTCATAGCTTTAAGTCCTTCACATTTTCAAATAGGAAATAGATGTTTGGGACACCTAAAGCATTGGAAAGAAGATTGAAAAGTTGGAAGCAACAAAAGCAAGGAAAGCAAGGACTGGAATGTACTAGGGGATAAAGCATTAGGTATGTTTCAGGTACGCCTTGGAGTTCTGTGCAAGGTTATGCCCTCCCCCATTTCAAACATGATAGCTGTTTAACTTTTTTCTTTGAAATGTATTATTTTTATTTTATGTGTTATTTTTAATTTATTTTTCCCCCATGTATGACATTCATATGACTGCTAATTATGTTATGAAATAAACCCCATATACTTCAATGTAGCAACTATCTCTAAAACTCAAATAGAAGTGGTATGAAGTATAATTTTAAACAGCCACAAGCTTAAAATGCTACCAGAGAATTTCAAATGTGAACTACAGGAACAATGATTTCAACTTACTTTCTCCATCTCTGTTTCAAGACTCTTCATCTTCTCTTTCAACCTGCGGTTCTCAGATTCCGCACTGATTAATGCCAATCTGACAGAGTTACAATCTTCTTCTGCTTGATGGCACTTTGCTTCCCAACTTTCTCCTTGTTCACGGGCTTTGTGGTAATTCTCCAAAAGCTCACAGTTCTCCCTCTCCTAACACATAAAACTTGTTTAATATTTTACAGTATGCTTCTCAAAATAGGGATATTTATAGCTGTGCAGGTATGACATAGTATTGGATGTTCTCTTTTTATTGAGAATCTTGCATTTAGCAAAAAACGTTGAGAGACTTCACATTGAGAGTTTTGTTCCATATGGCCACATTTTGATGCTCAAGAGACATCTGTTAAAAATGGCTGAATTAACACTAAAAATGTGAAGTATAGGAATATATTGAAAACTTTTTTCTGTTAATCCCACACAGTAGCAGAGACAAAAGAGTCCCAAGTTCCTACATTATGCACTGAAGTTTTAGATTTAATAAACACACACACACACACAAAACAGTGAAATATACTTCGTTACTTGTCTACTGGAAAATCAGCTAAGAAAATGCTTTCAAAACTGTATTAAACATAAAAATGCTATTAAAACTGTAGTAGCTGAATACAGATGAGTTTTGGAGAGTTATTCTATGGAAATATGGTTACAATTTCAATTTTAGTTAGAACAGCTTTAATCCACATACTCACTTTAAACTTCAGTACTCCCTTCAGCCTGGCAATATCTGTGTTTGAATCCTGAGCTTTCAACTTCATCTCCTCAAGCTCATTCTGGTACTTAGTTATTTTCACATGTAGTACCTATGAAGAAAGATTTGTTTAATAAGGCTAAAGTACACTGTTTGTACCTTGACAAACACACCTAAAGAGTATGCCTTAAGTATCTTTTAAAAGGGTATACAAAATATAAGCTATGTGGATTTCTGCAAACAAAATTTGGCACATGTCAAAAATACTTACCTTCTTTGACTTTAAAATAATACTAAATCTTAAAATGAAGAAAAATATAAATCAGAAAGTATAGCCATTAGCTCGAAAAAGACAGATGGTTTCTTCAGCAGCTAGGTGGTCAACAAGCAGCTCCCACTTTCTGGATGGTATAATCCCTTAAAGCTGCTCTTTAGAAAATGCAGGAAAAAAAAAAGAAAGAAAAAAAGAAAAAAGAAGCAACTGACTAAGTGGCCATCTCTTGATCAGGAAAAGTAGATCCACAAGCATTAGGAGAATGCACACAGAAGATCTGGCAACTATTGTTTGAGACAGAAAAACATGAAGAAGATTGCAGAAAGGTTTCTGGACAAGTCAATTATTATCTCCCTTCCTTGCAAACTACTGTGAGAACACTCCACTGCAAGAAGCAGTACGTATGGAAAAACAGATGTAGACTATGGAGAAACCCCCGTTTGTATTGTGAAATGTCCACAAGCTGCTGAGAAAGGTGCTCTGGAATTCTATGAACTTTTCCAGCCCTACTGAAGAAAGAGAAATGTTAATTGAGATACTTGGAATTTCACCTAAATTAATGGAAAAGCCACAAGTAAAAAATACATATTATAAAGACATATCTATTAAAAATTAGTTGATCACATGAGGCTAAGATTCTTTTGTTTCTAACTGCTTCTATAAGCATACAGACACATTTCAAAGAAACATGAGGCTTTTGAAAGTAGCTACAAGCAACAGATAGCTTTGTTTTGTACCAGCTGACCACATCAGAAACAATGGGGATTATAAAAGATTCTGATAGATGAGAGATATAGATGAATAAAAAGATGCCTTTCAGTAATCCATGTTTCTATTGACACTCACTATCTATCTTTAGTGATTATAACATTTGTTGAAGAGGAGAAAGTAAGGAAATAGAAAAGTATATTCAAAGAAGAAGATATTCTAAGCGGTTGAACAAGTGTAGAGGAGAAAAAACAAGCATGAGAAAACCTGAATTAAGGCAGAAGTTTTAATGAAAAGAAGAAAAAATAGAACATTATACAATGATGACCTACTGCAAGTACTAAGCTTAATTTCTGGCTGCTTGGAAAACATACTGATGTGTGAACTGATGTGCATGAGATGAGACTGTTGTCTAAATGTGTCAACTACTTTTCTGAGTAACTGTATACAGACAAATAACACATTCGATATTTTAATGTATGATAATCAGATATTGCCATAATCTTTTACCCAAAATCCCCTTTAAAGAACAGTAAATACAGTCCTGTTAATAAAGCTGTGAACCTTAATAGATGCATACTGTGTTCAAATATGTAAACTTGTATGTGTTCTGAGCCAGTCGCAGCACGGTACAATAAATAGCTGCTGCCTCCTTTACAGTAATTTTCAACGTAAGCAATGGTTATAACCACCACAATTATTTTTACAAAAAGACCAGAAACAAAAAAGTTAAGCAGCTGTTCCTGGAGATAAACATCCACACCATAACACAAGAACAACTGAGCTTCTTTATACAAGTGACCTAAGCAGGAAGTGAAAAAATCAGTTTGGAAAAATTCTATGCACCAATTCTATGCACTACTAGAAAAACACTCCATTTTCTTTTTTGGTCAAGATGTCTCTACATGTATATACCTGATTTTCTTGTTTAGCGTTAGAAAGATGCTGTTGTAACCTGTCCTTCTCCTGAGCTAACATTTCTCTGTTGTCGTTAGCCTGTGCAAGTTCTTTGTTGGTTTCTTGCAGCTGTTGACGCAAACTGGTGATATCTTTCTCACAGATACACAGTGCTTCAGCAGATTTTCTATGTAGCAAATAATAAATACTTCAGGTATGGCAATGCTGTTCAACCTAGTAAAATGATAGCTTTTCCGTGGTTAAATTTACAAGTTCTGAAACAAAGCTGTAACATTTTAATATGTAATACAGTAGAAAAAAACAATTTCTACATTAGCACATCCTAGGATCCATTTTTTTTGTGTTAATGCTATGCATTAATCAAAATTTAATTATGATCTTGAAATTTTATCCTTACTGTATCGAACGCTCCAAATCGGAAATCAGAATCTTCAAATCTGAAATGGTTTTCTCCTTAAAAAGAAATACAAAATTAAGATAAACTCCTCACAGCTCTGATTTCCTTTTATTCAGTTTATTCCTTTTATTCAGTTAGCTGATTACTGCAAAATGGATTCTGATTTTCAAAGTTTCATCGTGTACTGTTTAGAGCTGAAAATTCTGATAACCTACTTTGGCAAATAGAAGAACAAATATTATTATCTTCTGCAGAATGTAACCCTTTTAATTAAATTTCTTAATCCTTTGTGGTTTGAACAGTGGCATTTGTCTCATGCTCCCAAAAGTAAATGTGTCTTCTGTCTGCTAGATAAGTTATCACAGTTTTTCTACAATTAATAGACTATCAGAGTTTGGTAGTTCTTAACTGATAAAACAAGAACTGTCACTGTATTTCCATTAAAAAAAAACAAAACAAAAAACTAGCACAAACTGTATCAGTTCGTTCCACTGTCTCTGCACAGATATTAAAAGTATAGATAGGCTAAGCAAATGTTTTCTACTGAAAACCCAAGATATATGAGATACAGCCTTCTGCAAAATAGGCACCATTTACAATTTACAGTCTTTAATATGTGGAGTCATTGTTTATAGCAATATGATTATGGCCTGTCTTGCAATATCCTATCTTCAATGTTATGTTGAAAGTACTGCAACTTCTTTAGTTAACAATCACTACATTTATGAAGTACCTCATTTAGTGTGTTCTAAATCAATATCAAGATAACTTAGGCTGAAGAGAAAAACAATGCTTCAGACCTAAGCAGCTTCATTACAGAGCCTGAAATCACACTGTGGAAAAAAACAAAACAAAAACCCAACAAACTGATGCATTTAGCCTAGGTAAACTAATATCTTACGATGAAAAGGATATCATTCAAATGCAACATCAATGATAAGAAAAGCAATACTACCTGGCACTGTATCTTTAACATTAGTGGGCACTGAGGAAGAATTCAGGCTAAATTTTATGATAAAACATTTTGTTAGCTAATTTACTTTTCTTCACCTAAGGAAAGTAATTAAAGTCTCCTCTCTTGATAAGCATCAGCTATGCAAAAGCCAAACATGAGGGGTTCAACATGGCTCAGACCCACTGCTATTGATGTCAACATGAATTTTATTGTCTTGAAACTAAAGCAGAAGTAGGTCAGCACTGAGCATTGCTGCAGATAACATTATAAGAGAGTCACGATGGCCCAACAGATGCTTCCTCTATTTAATCTCTCATGATTCCTGATTATTTACATGTTAGAACATACTTTAATCTTCAGGTTTTCCTCAAAAGTGATGATCTTCTCTCTTTCTTCTTCCACACACTGTTGCAAAGTTTCCTTCTCTTTATCAAGTTGCGCAATTGTATCTTTCAATGCACAGATCTTCTCTTCTTGTGCAGAGCTTTGTTTTGAAAAGTCATCTGAACACAATCAGAAAGGTCTCATTTTTATAAATTCAGATCATTCCAGATAAAAACTATTTTGATACACTTCTGAAGCATAAAAGAACATGACAAAAGCTTTCCTTCAAGAAAATACCGAAGCAAGTGTGTTTTCAGAAACACAGGTAATCCCAGTGATATTGTAGAACTGCATTCTTCTTTCAAGGACTTTAATTACTTGGCTCAAAAAAAAAAAAAAAAAATCTATCCTTAAATGGCTAATGTTTAGATAATTCAAATAATTTTATTGAGCATTGTAAAAAATAAATGATTTAAATAGAATTACAATAGACAGAAGCCTCATGAAGGCTGCAACCTGGAAAGGCTAACATGAAATAAAAGAGATAAATATCCCAATATTAGACAGTTTTTCAGAAACAGTGCTTTATTTATATGAACTTTGTGTACAAGAGTTTTTAAAAAACTCATTTACAAAATCCAAGGTCACTTAAGAAGTTCAAAGCTATTAATGAAAAAAAGCAGTTAATCTACTTATTAGAAAATTAAATTTGAAAAGATCTCTTTCCCTGTCTTCATTGAGCTACGCACTGCATTTACCTTTAAGTGGTCAGATAATCAATCCTTATTTGAGGTTCTTACACTGCATTCTCAGGGGGAAACTACAGGAATTCTTGTTACAGTGAAATTTACATCTCAGAAAAAGTATACAGGTTGCAAATTCCTTCATAAATATCAGTGTAATTGGATGCACTGAATGATAATTATTAACTACTTCCAGGAGATAAAACATCCAAAGTAAAATCACATGTGGCCCAGTCTTTCAAGACATCATACTCATATATCCACCTTCCAGTCCTTTTTCACAAACTTTTCACAAACTCTCCCTATTTTAATACACAAGATGAAAGACACTCAGATTTCCACATCCTTATGAATCTAGACTGCAACATGCTTCGGTCAGCTGATTGGAGGTCTTGGATGTGAGATTCTGAAAAGTCTCTGTTCACCTTCAAATGGCTTAAAATATGCTTAGTTTGGACACATTTCCTGGGAATGATTTAAACATGCAATAACACATAGGCAGATGCCCCTATCAAACATTAAGTCAGTACTTCACTACATCAGGGATTTAGAACTGTTTAACATGTTGTGTAGATTTTAATGTGGACAAAATACCTTTTTTTTTTTTTACTAGGCTTCTCAGGAGTAGCTTAAACACCTCAGCCAAAGCGTTCAAAACTTTAAATTTGCTTTGAATGAAATCTTATTTGAGTTTTAGAGATTTAGAGCTGAGTAACTGGAGTTTGAAAGTTTAAGTAATAAAGAAGAAGATAGTTTAATAGCTGTATTTTCCATTCACAAATTTATCACTTCATTTAACAGTATATCATGTCGACTGTACCCACAGAGCAAAATAAGACTTCAGACACAATGCATTTGTATTTCTGGAAGTGGTAACTCACTAATTGGCACACTAGAAATAATTTCTGTATCCACTTTCTTCAATCTCTTAACAGAAAAAGGGTACAACATTCCATATAGAATATACTCTACAGAAGATGCTTTCCTGATTTCATCATCATCTACTGATGCTGAAAGATACAACCACCAGCTTAGTGGATCATAAATACAACTTATGGGCCTAGACACAGCACGTTAATACCATCCATTGTTGAAACAATAGTATGCGTAGTGATCAAAACTTAGTTGCAAAAGCTTTATTTATGTAATTTTAAAACACAAAAGCCTTCCAACAATGAAAGAAAATGGACTTTTTGCATGAAACGTTAAAACTAGCAAAAGTCTATATATTTCTTTTCAATAATTCTGTTCTTTCTACATAATAGAAACAAAATAAAAAGCTGCAAAATAATTATCCAATGGAATTTTATTAGAAAAACTATCACTCACCAATTTTTTCATTCAGAAGCCTAATTCTCTCTTCGTTAAGTTGAATTTCAAATTTTTTCTTAGTAAGGCTTCGCTGTGCCTCTGAAAGAATCTGCTCTGTCTTTTCCTTCATTAGACTAAAAAAGAAGAGAGTTCAGATATTAGACGACTTAATTCCTTTTCGAAATGCCACTAAAATGACTAAAATGGCAAAAGTTAAGTAAAAGCAGGATACTTCTGTTTACCTTAGACTACTAGGATATTTTATCAATGTTAGCCTTAATCTCTAGATATTAAAGTCTGAATACTGCTATAAAGAATCACAGGAAAGTAAGAATTTTTTATTTCACAATAGAGAGACCAAAAAATTGTTAGAAATTATTACAAGAAAAATCTTTACTTAAAACACACATTGGAATGCTCGACCTATTTTAAGTTATATCTTACTAGCAGCAACTGATCTTCAAGAACTCAGTTTTTATAGTATTCATAAATCTGACAATTTGTAAAAAGCAGCAGCAACGCAGAATAGGTTATGACAAAGGAGTTCATGCTACTTCAGAAATTGCAGTATTCTTGGAAAGGTACTGTGGAACAGCACATCATTCCCACCAATTGAAATCAAACAAAGAAAAAAAACTACATCAGCTATGCATCATCTACACCAGTCACTATTAATGACATGGGGTTTAGGAGAGCACTTGCCTAACTGAATTACAGTTACTTACTGAATTACTACAATAAAGGTCAGCTTATGAAATTGTCATGGTTTTATGATTTTCGGTATTCCACATCATAACATCATGTAGATGTTATACTGTTGGAACATTTACAGATGTAGAAGGAGAAAAGTCACAGTATCTTTCGCTGCAGTCAGTTCACCCTGTAACCTAGTTCAGCCTGTGATCTGTTCCTTCTTATCTCTCTGCTCAAATTTCTCATGTGCTTGATCTTCCTCTCCAGTCAGTAAATGGTCCTTTTCATCATGAACTCACTGACCCATGCTTTCTTCCCTACAGCTTTACTTGAGTTTAGTCCCACTGTATGTTTCTGAACACTGTTAGGAACTCCAGTCGAGCAGAAGTGGAGGTCAAAAACTCCATGCAAGGCTTCAGTTTTATTTCTCTTCCTGAAAAAACTGCAAGACTAAGAAATGGATGTTTGAAACTAACTATACACATGACACTCATTAGTTTGTGTTTGTTTGCTTGCCTCTTTAAGAACAACAGCATCAAAGGAAAATGATTTTTATATATTTGCAATTAAAACGTAATTCATCAAAACATATTAATCACTATGGCTTCCAATAGCGAGTTCCTAACGCAAGCCATTTTGCTTTTCCACTGAAGATGGTTTTCTTTATATCACAATAACAACAAATCAACATTTTACCTATAAATAAGCAATGAGGAAAAACATTTAATTCCAGAGCAAAAATATGTCTCACAAGCACAACTGTCATGAAAGTTTTCTTCCCTTTGAGCTAAACGTAACCCAAAAACCATAGGCTGACATTACTCAAACTAATGCAGTTATATACTTTCACTGACCTCAGTGAAATATATTCATCTTTCTGGTGGCTTAGCTCATTCTCAGAGTCCTGGGATCTTCTTGTCATTATTTTTACCTCTGTTTCCAGAGAATCGATGTGTTCTTTCATTAGAGCCATTCTGGACATCTGCTCTAATCGTTCACTATCTAACTATAAATAAAATTAAACATTAATTAAACAGGAAAAGCTGGAATAAAAAGCTGATTTACATATAGATACTCACCTATTTACTCAAATTCTACTCTATTTTTAAGACAAATCTTTCACTGAAGGAGAAATCTCCAAGTTTACTCAGAACCACCTAGGACAAAAAGCTGAAATTTGAAGTACAGTTTCTGTCTTTCAGATCCCTGGAATATTTTGATCTATTCATGTAAGATGTTATGTTGGTAATTAGATGGAAGGGTAAAAATGTTTGGCATTGGTCATCCTTAAAATTTTCAGTCACAGAAAATGCTACTGTAGCTTTACGAAGGGAGAAACCACAGGTTCAGATGCAACAACACCAATGATGGGTTTAGGTCTCTGTTAAGGTACAAAGCTATGCTGATAACTGGGCAGAGAAGTCACTCTAAAACACTTCCATTACGCACCCTATGGCCAAGAGACCACCACGAGGCCTTTAAGTCTGTACCTAGAACAATGACAGATCTGTCCCAGAAAATCTTCTTTAGGTTCCTACAAAGTTAGTCTGGAATGTCCAGTTTAAGGAAATCTGTACTTGATTACACTTTACATTCAAAGTATTTTCCTGTCTAAATGATTTGAAACAGCTCTTTTCAGGTAAAAAATTCTCACATCATGCCTCTTCTTATTTACTAATTCTTTCAGGACTAGTTTCTGTGTTACTACAATAAAGGTCAGATTGCTGAAGATTAAGTCAATTAGAGCTTGGTATACATTGACTTTCTCAATATTAGTGCCATAAATTTCATACTGAAGTATATCACCCTCAAAGGGTATCAAATAAACCAAAGAAATGAGACAAGTACCTAAAATAAGACTATTCCTGATACTCATAATGCTTCATACATCAAGCATATGATTAAAGCTGATCTGTCATTCAGAGTAGTCAGTGGATTCTTCATTACAAATACATTCAATTTAATATTTTAATTCTTAGAACTGTACTTGCAAGCTTGGTACAATTTAAAAGGCTGAAAGGAAGAAATGAACTAAAATTTATAACCACAAGATCTAGAAGAAAGAGACACTATATAAATCAATGCTTATCTATTTTAAATCAAGTTTTACTAAGACTGTATATACACTCAAGAACTGTATTCATTTTATTAATGCTTTCATTTTCTATCTATTAGCTAACAATTGTACACATAAGTAACTTATATTGGAGATAAAGTATAATTTCATTTTCTTTTGTGGAGTATCAAGTTTTAGTAACATGCAACCATAAGACAATCCAGGTTGGAAGGCAGTCTCCAGTTTAAAGCCCTGGACAGAGTAGCTCTGAGACCAGCTTGCTCAGGGTTTTATTCAATCAGGTCTTGAAAATCTTAAAGGCTGAAGACTGCTTCACTGCTGACAGCCCTCATGGGGAAAAAGTGCTTCATGGTATTCAGACTGAACACTCCTTGTTCCAATTTACGACCACTGTTTCTCATTCTCCCACCATGCATGGATGTGAAGTCTCTCTCTGCCTAAATGGTAAGTACTGGCAGGAAGCTTAGGTCCCTCCTGAAGCCACTCAGCTCCAGGCTGACTGAGTGCAGCTGCCCCAGCCTCCTCACAGAGGGCAAGTGTTCCAGCCCTGAAAACAGTCACACCAGTTTGGCAATGTCTTTCTTGTACTAGGATGGCAAAACTGGATGCAGTATACCAGGTGAGATCTAACATGCTCTCAGTAAGGGGGGACAATCACTTCCATTAAGCTACTGGTTGTATCTTCTTCATAAAGCCTAATATACTCTTAGCCTTCTCTGCTATTTCTTCATAGATTGGTCCCACAGTATTAACCATTAAATATCACCTTTATTACATTCACAATTATTTAAATAATTACTCGCCTTACATTTTGAATAGTAGTTTCTAGCTCTTCAATTCTCTGCTGCAAATGAGCTTTTTCATTAAATGCAGTCTCTTGGGAAATCTGTGTCAAATAACAACAAAGTCACATATAGAATAAATCTTAACTCACCACAAATAATGCAATTAACTCTCAGTACCAGAATAGAAATCTTTGGCAACTCTAACTCCAATACTAAGTAATCTGTGTGTTAAAATAAGCTTGAGTGAAAAAAAAAAACTTAAACCTTCAGCTGCTCCCTGAGACTGTCATGTTCTGTAGTCATCCTTCGTAAATGTGACAGTGCTGCATCCCTTTCTGTCTCCACATGCCTTAACATTGCTTGAGCTGCCACAGTACTTCTTGGAGTCCTGGTGCATTTGATGACTTCCTGATGAAGCTGGGAAACCTCTTCCTGGGCCTGTTTTTTAAAAATAGCAGTTAGCAGAAACATGGAAATAATGTAATACATTACTGTGTACATAAACCAGGGACTCGTTAGAGAATTTCAGTTACCACTGCTCAATTGAATGAATAGATTTACATTCTATAAAGCAATCATCAGTGAAAAAGAAATATTATCTTTTAGTAGGCCAAAATAACAACTCATTACAGTAGCACATCACAGCTGATCTAGTTTTGAGCAATGAAATAGGTTCATTGAAGAGAATAAGAACAAAGATCCCAACCAGTAACACTCATGAAACTTTCCAGTAATATTTACAAATCAAACTATTTTGGTCTTTAGCAAAACTATTTTTGTTTGATATTTTAAAATACAGTGTGAAAAAAAAAAAAAAAATCTGGTGTGAACTATGTTTAGTAATAAGGCATTACTGATAATGCAGAGCATCCCAGAAACCACACAGTGTCAAAAATGAAATGACGACTGATATGTATATGCCTTCCCTCAGGAAAGCATTCCTAATTCAGGACAGCACTTAGAGTCTTGTATTTAAATGACGAATTCAGAACTGACAGAACTTCAAAAAAATTCTTTAAATGAGTATTCTATAGTTTTAGTCTTAAGTTGGTTTTTTCTTTCATTTTAAACAGAAAAATCGTTTTTATTTTCTTTTACATCACAGAATCACAGAATTGAGGGGCTGGAAGGGAACCCCTCCAGAGATCACTGAGTCCAACTCCCCTGCCAAAGCAGGCTTCCTACATCAAGCTGCACAGGTGGACACCCAGGTGAGTCTTGAATATCTCCAGAGAAAGAGACTCCACACCCTCTCTGGACAGCCTGTTCCAGCTCTCCATCACTCTCACTGCAAAGAAGGTTTTACAGGCATTTGTGCAAAACTTCCTGTGCTTCAGTTGGTTGCTATTTCCCCTTTCCAATCACCACTGAAAAGAGTCTGGCTTCGTCCCTTTGCCTCCTGCACTTACTTTTTTGTAGACATTGATCAGATCCCCTCTCAGTCTTCCTTTGTAGGCTGAACAGACCCAGATCACTCAGCCTTTCCTCATAAGAGAGGTGCTCCAGTGTTTTATCACCTTTGTGGCCCTCATCTTCACCACCCTAAGTTATTTTGCTTAACCATCACAGCTGTTCAAACTTCGACATTTCCCCGAATTTCTGGCACATAGCATTTGTATTTTTTCAGTTGTTGACTCAAGTTCTTCACATTCTCTCAATATTTTCAAAACCTCTGGATCAGAACTCAATCCCTTAAATAATAATGTGATATAAAGTTAAAGCAGAAAAATTAAATTTGATATGCATTCTTACGTCTGCAGTGGAAATTTCCATAAAGGATAAAATTAGCCTTCAACCTAAGAACCTGTAGACAAACAAAAGCATACTCACATAATTCTTAGTATTAGAGAACAGATATAAGCACTGTTTTAGAAAATAAATTTTATTTTGAGCAGCAAATGTCTATCACAAATGGCACTGACAAACAGGTGAAGAAATAATTCATATGTAACCAGCTGCAAATAACTACTGAAAATGATACGTTTACATTCTGTGTGAAGCACCAGTTAACTTCACATTATTTGTTTGTTCCCATCACTTGCACCCTTTTGTTTATAATTAGTTTTTCCTTCCTGGTAATTATAGCTTTGGTCAGTTGCCATTAGATAAACCAATCCTTACAAAGCAGGCACTCCTCCTGTTGCAAAGTGTTTTCCAAGCTCACCTGGATGTGTGATTTTTTTTTTGACATGCTGTCCCAAGTAGAGTTACGCTTAGGACTTGAAGATGCGTTTCGAAATACCCTCAGCAAATTCTCAGCCTTGCTTTTATAGTAGTCTCTGTCTTCTTCCAATGTCTTAATAAACGTATCAAGCCTTGAAGGTGATTTCCCTTGACTTATTTCATTCTCTGTTTTCAAAATAGCCTGCATGTGCAAACACAAGATGATGCACTCATTGAAACAGAACTTTTCTAGAGAAAAACACCTCAATGTGAAATGGACAAACATACTCTTCAGAATGAAGTGAAAGCAGATATCTAATTAAAAATAAATATCTATTTAATATTTTAAAGCGACTTTCTGAATGTCTGCATTTCTCTTTTTGTTAAATTGATCTCAAATTCCAACTTCTCTACTGAAGAGTCACCATCTTTCATGGGTAACTGAGCAATAAGATCTACATGGCCAATTTGGGGGGGTTTTGTTACTGTTGTTTTGTTTAGTATGGATTGTTTGTTTGTTTGAGTGAGGGTTCTTCATAGGATTGTGGTATAAACTCAAATATTTTATACAGGAAAGTAATAATCAATTCCTTTCCTCCACAACACCCTCCACCACTGCCACAACTAAAATTTGAGACAAATCTTAAAATTACATAAATTAAATACAATTTTGACAAACAAAAAGAACCCCCCCCTCTATAAATACATACTTATGAATCCTTTTAACATATTCAAATAATAATTTGTTAAGTTGTATCTATTACTGGCAAATATTTCTACAGAATGGTAGACGCTTCTAAATGTTCCAACAGCATAACATCTTAAGCCAGATATCAAAGATATTAATATCAAAGAAAAATGTTTCTTCTTTCTGTTTCATAAGTGATATGCAAAATACTGAAAGCCGTTCAACGCTGTTTTGTTAAAAAAAAAAAAAAAAAGCCATTAAGATTCTCAAAAGCAAAATCATTGCAGGTTAGCTGTAAAGCAGAAACAGCTTTCCATCCATCCAGCATGACAAATGAGAACAGACATTTTTATCTATTCTATAACTTGTCTGTTATCTGTGAAATAAAGCAAATGAAATTAACTTGTTGAAGTATTAATGTGGAAATTAACAAATTTCATAGCTATGTATGTATTAAGAATACATGTTAAACTCACAGATTTTAATGTTTTCACTGTGTGTTCCAGCTTCTTTATGTTGTTCTGCTGGCGTCGAACTTGAGTCTACCATAAAAAAATTGAAAGAGATGCATTCATCTTTTACATTCTTTAGTGTAAATCTGACATTTTAGCTCAACTCTTCTAGTCCAAAGGAACATTTTGTACATGCTGTCTAATTTGACTAGGCTGAAAACATGCTATTTACCAACAACGCATTTAATCTAGAAGGGAATCAGTTAAAAGACGTATCTTTTGGTGCAGTCCAGGATTCAGAAAAAAAAGTAACAGTCAAATTACTCTCGGGTCAAAAAGTGAAAAAGGAAGCATAAGATACCTTTTCCCAGAATTATTTTACCAGGAAACTTTCAAATTCAGGGACAGTCTGACTATACCTATCAGCTAAAGAATTAAGCACGTAGTTACATCAATGGCAAACAAATATCCTTTCTGCCATCTGAAGGCTACCTTAGATAATGTTATTATTTTATTATTAACTGCATGTCCATAAAATACAATTTGCCTCCATTCTATGAAATCAACTGCAATCTTCAATGAAATTGCATTCTTTCCGACTGCAAATGTCATTTTAATCCTTGAACCATTTCTCACTTGAAAAACATCACAGTGGCCAGAACCTACTCTTTCCTCATCCTAGCAAACGTACTTGAAAGAAAGGATGAAAGCAACGATTTCAGCTCAAAGGGTAAAAACAAATAAAAAAGCATCAGTTCCCCTTAACAGTAGCAAATAACATCAAAATATCACTGTGTGACATCAATTCCAAGAAGCAAGTATCTACCTTTGCTTCTTCTAGTTCCTTATCAGTGGTGTTCAGTAACAACTCGTTTTCCTTTTCCAGCTGTTCAGATAGTTTGGCAATTACAGCAAGTTCTTTACACAGGTGATCATCTTTACAGGTCAATCTATCCACTTGTCTTTCAACCACTTGCTTCTTATTAAGCAGTTGTAGGACATGTTGCCTTAGCTCATGGCTTATCTTCTTCAGATTTTCAGTCTATGAGGACAAGCAGGAATAAAATATTTTACTATGTCTTCAAGGATCTGCAGGGAAAACTTCAAAAGAAAAGTTCTGCTCTCAAGTTTCCAACAGCCTGACTTACCATCGTTCTCTTAGGCTTTAGGAGAGCCCTTCAATCATCCTCTTTGAAATGGACCCACACCCTTCGTACATAGTAAAGGCCAACAGAAATATAGCAGATCAATTACTAACATTAACTCAAAAATTAAGAAATATAGGATTAATTATTTTCCTGAAAAAATGTAAACTTCAAGAAAAAATCAAGATAACTATATGGCCTTTTTCTAAGACACTTTGAGTTGCCATATTGTTTTGGCAAGTGTCATCTTTAACTTCTCAGTTTAATGAAGCATGACTTCCTCATGCAGCTTTTCCATTTTTTGAATCCTCAGATTTCTAAAATTTTACTCTAATTGAGGGATATATACATTATGATGCAGAAAGTCCCTTGTTTACACAGACTGTTCCTGTAATTCATGAAAAGATCAGTATCTCAAAACGGAGTTCTGTGAAGTTCCCTTGAAGAGTTTTCTTCAAGTACTGCTAGCAAAATAAAATAAAATAAAATAAAACCAACATTTTTAATTACTTAAGAAGATGTGGAAGATGATTTGTGGAAAAAAGCTTTCTGGATGGGCTGTCTCCTGTGACATTCTGTAGCTTTTCATTTTACTGCTTCTGTTCAATGGCTATGCAAATATATTGATAGGACTACTGATCCCTTAAGGCCTTAGAGACTCTAAACCCAATACCACACTATTAACAAATTTGCATCACCAACAAAAATCATAAATTACAAAAAAAATGTTGTTTCTATCATGCCTCTGCACTCTACTGTAGTTCACAATGGTCTGTTCCAGCAACATAAAGCAGGGAGAAGAACGGTACCAGTTATTTACTTCCTAGCCACAAAAAAGATGGAAAAAAGTATTTTCTGTATTTTTGCTGTAACAAAATAAAAGACATACATGATAATAGGAAACATGGACATGTATCTCCATCTACCAGCACCTCCTCAAACACAGAACATTGCCAGAAACATTTGTAAATGTTCAAATTCTGTGCAGAACACAGGAACGTGAAACTAGTTATCATTAGCTCTCCAGTGCTGCAGCCTATGATTCCTCAGAAATCAACAAAGACTTTGGAATAATAGAGAGAGAAAGATAGACTGCTCTCTGGCAACTTTCTAAGAATAACCATGATAAAGCAAGGTCACTGGAGCAAGTCAGTGAGACATGAAAGAGCTAATGAGACAGGGAGAGTGAGGAGCACACCAGTGCCTGGCAGTGCTATTCAATACCTGCCATCCTGCTACAACTCTAACCTATAAAGAAGCCCATAGATCTAACAATAGAAGACAAACAATTGTTCACCAGCATGAAGCTCACAACAGCTTCTGCCCTTACTTACATTCAGGAGTCTCCAGGGAATTCGGGGCAGCTGTGTTACTTCATTAACATTTAAAATCTCATCTGAATCAAATGTCAGTTCACCAACTATCAGTCTGACTATTGGCCTCAAAGTGTTTTAAGCAACAATCTAAGTGATGGCTTTGTTAAGGAGTGAGATACAGCTGACTTAATCTGTAGTATCTACAAAGAGAGTTCTAAAATGGAATTTGCATGATCCATTTTAAATGCTTATCCTAATATTAGTCATGCCCCAGGAGTACCTGTTTCTTTTCCCTAGGAGTGAGGACAGCTTGGACATCCCTATTACAGCCATCATCACCACTGATGTGTCAAATTAGACAAGATGGATCCAACCCTCATATTCTGTTCTCTCTCAAAGTGACACTAAACAACTTTGCTAGTCTTTCTAGAAAAGGAAGAGAAAAAGATCAGTGATTTGCAAGTTCTTAGTTGCTCAGTATCTCACTGAGCACTAAGAACTCAAACTTACACATAGAATGTGTGGTATTTGGTCCCTCACAATACTACTTTTACCCAACTTGTGGAAAAAGAACTTTTTGGAGAAAAAAAAAAAAAAAGGAGTTTTTATTTCCTAAAATAACTGATATTTGTGCTTGTCATAAAGCAGTACAATTTAACTGCCACTATTCTGCCACCTTCTTCTGAACTGTGGCAAAGCTTCATGCAACACTAAACGATACCTGTACCAGGCCTTACAACATGACCAGAAGTAGGCAATTAGATGGCAAGTTTATTCATGAAAGCCAGTGACAAAATCTGTGGGATCCAACCACAGGCATACATAACCTTTACCATACCTCAACTATTCACATTCAATTATTTAATTCAGAATGATCTACAGAAGCAACTGAATATCCAGAACATACTCAGATCCATCTTCACATTTGAAGGTCATCCTTCACAAATCCATGGCTACCCTCCATCATCTTTTTGTCTTTAATATATTTCAAAATGCTTTCCAAGATTATTTGCTCTGTATCTTCCTAGTGATAGGGACTGATCAGCCTGTAATAGTTCTCCAGAACCTCTTTTCCACCCTTTTTGAAAGCATGAGATGAGATGCATCCAGTTGGGTCCTATGAACTAGCATTTGTCCAGATAGTTTAAATGTTTCCCAATCTGATCTTCTTTCATTAAGGAAAAGTCTTCTTCACTCCAGAATTTTCCTTCAATCCCAGAGACCTGGGATTCCCGAAGGAAGGTCTGAAGACAGAGACAGAGAAGGTATTGAGTACTTCAGACTTTTTAGTGTCCTCTGTCACCAAGTTGCCCACCCTATACAACAGAGAGCACATTTTCTATAGCTTCCTTATACTAATGTGTCTGTGAAAGCCCTTTTCCTTGCCTTCCACATTCCTCATCAGATTCAGCATCAGATAGGCTTTGATTTTCTTAATTCCCTCTTTGAATGCTTAGACAGCATCTCTATACACCTCCCTGTGTGTACAGAGATCCTCTTTCACCTCTTGTATGCTTCCCTTTTTTTTTTCTTTTTTTTTTTTTTTTTAATGTACATTTCAGATTTGTCAGAAGCTCCCCGCTTATTTGTGAGCCCTCCTGCCCCCTTGCCTGATTTCCTGTTCATGGACTGTTCATGGACTGTTTTGGAGCTCAGAGAAGGCAAGAACTGAAAATCAACCAACTCTCCTGGACTACTCATACAAAGAACAATTTACCAAGGGAGGCTTCCAAGCTGATCTTGGAATAAGTCAAAGTCTCTTTTAGATTGTGATCCTTCTTTTTGCCTTGTTCCTGCCTCTCACAACCCTGAAGTTAACCATCTTGTGGTCACACAGAAATACAGAACTGTAGGAATTGGAAGGGACCTCTGGAGATCAAATCCACTCCTCATGCTAAAGCAGGTTCCCTACAGTAGATGGCACAGGAAAATGTCCAGATGAGTCCTGAACATCTTCAGAGAAGGAGGATCAACTGTGATCACCATAGTTAAATCTGCACTGAAGTCAATCTTCACATTTTGTACCAATTCCTCCTTGCTTGCTAAGAAGAGAGCCACCCTTCATGGGCTTCTCAATCTCCTAGATCAGGAATTAGTAATCACCACACTGCAGAAACCTCCAGATCTGCTTGTGGCCTGCCGTGTTGTTCCTTCAGCAGACATCAATGCAGTTACAGTCTGCCATGAGCACCGGGACTTGAAAACATGAGGCTTCTTCCTCAGTAGCCCAATAACAGCCTAATGGCCAACCCTCCAAAGTTGGGCTGCTCCACAAAGTATTATTTAACAAATGCTTGAAGGTGAGCATTATTGACTGAGTAAAAACAGCGGTAGTATTTCCAGAGCCTTAATATTGGTTTTATATTGCAAAATATAATGTTTCTTTCTTTCTTTTTTTTTTCTTTTTTTTTTAAAGGGGTATGTGTGTGTTTATATATAAAATTAAAGCAGTGCGGCATGCACGTGGATTTTACTCTTGACTACTGAATTCAGACATTTCATTGCACAGCACTGAGTGCATAGGAATAAGCATACAGTAAATACGATGGGACACAAACGGACACTATAAAATTCAAAGCGATCATCTGAAAACCGACTGCATCCCTAAGGGAACAGGGAACACACCCAGCCTCTCCAGGGCTCCCTTCAGCCGGCAAGGTGCTACCAACCGGCTCTGGCTCTCCTCTGCCTTCCGCCCTCCGCCAACCATCGCCCCGGCCGCCCCACCTACGCCTCTCCCGCGCCGCGCCGGGTTCGCGCAGAAGCGAGCCCCGCCGGGTGTCTACCTTGGGGCGAGCCTCCGCCCTCCCCCTGCGGCGTCCCGGGGACCGCCGGGCGCTCATGGTGGCTGCCCGGGCGGCGTGAAGCGCCCGCTACTCTCTCCCCCAGCCCAGGGCGCTCACCAGCGGCCCAATGGCGAGCTCCCCGCCGCGCCCCTTCCCTCCCCGCCGCGGGGCGGTGGCCGCCGCGCCCCAACGGCCGCGTTCCCTGGGTGCCCGGCAACGGCCGGCTCCCAGCCGCCCCTCGGGGCTGTGCCAGACGGCCTCGGCCACAATCCTGGATTTTAGTCTTACCAATTTTGGTACACTGGAAATCATCAGAAGAGACTCTGCATTACCTTATTTCATGGAAGCACAGAGTGGCCAGGGTTGAAAAGGACCACAATGATCATCCAGTTTCAACCCCCCTGCTATGTGCAGGATCACCAACCACCAGACCAGGCTGCCCAGAGCCACATCCAGCCTGGCCTTGAATGCCTCCAGGGATGGGGCATCCACAGCCTCCTTGGGCAGCCTGTTCCAGTGCGTCACCACCTTCTGCGTGAAAAACTTCCTCCTAATATCTAACCTAAACCTTCCCTGTCTCAGTTTAAAACCATTTCCCCTTGTCCTATCACTTGTAAACAGCCGTTCCCCCTCCTATTTATAAGCTCTCTTCAAGTATTGGAAGGCCAAAATGAGATCTCCCCAGAGCCTTTTCCATGCTAAACAAGCCCAATTCCCTCAACTCATATTCTTTGTATTTATCTCCAAGAGAGATGTGAAAAGATAGCATTTCAGGTTCTAGGAAAACTCTTCTCCGTGAACATTCATTTTAGGAATGAAGTTATGTTGGTTTTGTTCTTGTATGTCTATGGTTTTCTTTAAGTTATATAACGTGGCCTCTCATATGTTGATATCAGAGCCATAGGACTGGAATCCACAGCAGCAACAGCCTGAGTCTGACTTATTTACTGCCCATGAAAAAACAAAGACCCCCAGTAGTTACACTGTTGGTAAGATGTCACAAAAAATGCAAAAATCTCTCTAAAATGAATTGGATGTGTCACATTTCTGGAGACTTTTCAGAGCTTGTGATTCATGACTAGTGCAGCAGAGTCAGAGTGTCTGGAGTGCTGCTTCCTGTGGAAGGCCAACTGGCAAATTGGACATTTAAAGTCAAGTCTTTAAAGGTATTAGTGGAATCCACAAGAAAGATGGCATTACTGCTGCTTTGCTCAACCTCTCTTCTACTAATGCGAGCCTTCTTCCTGCTCATGCCTCAAGCACGTTTTTATGCATAATTCAACTTCTGCTAGAGCATATGAAGAAAGTATTACATACTCTTTGGGTTGTTACCCTCGGCTCTGTGAAAATTAACATCAGTTACACAGTTGGCTATTTGCCTCACACAGCAGAGTGCACAGTGGGTTTGGGATTTCTGCACCCAAAGGTTAAATCCAGAGCTGCACTCCTGACAGGAATTTGGGAATCGCCTCACTAAGCAGTTTGTGCTGGATCCTACCACAGAGTGCATCTATATTCTGAGATTTTATTCATTTATTGGGATCTTCTGCTGGATTACAATGCAACATAATCCAGTTTATAAATTTATGCTTATTGCATATTGCTAGAATATGCCTAATGATCTCAGTGGGTTTGTCTTTAAAAATAGCCACTTTTCAGGAAAGGTACTTGTAGCTGAAATATGCATTTTATCTATCAGCATATAAGAAACAGAACCAAGACGTTTTTAACTGTCCACCTAGTGTTCTGCACATTTTCCCTTTCTAGCACATTCTGCTTCTAATTAAGGAAAGGAGAGTTGCCTTGGTCAGGCTATTTTCAGCTTGAAAAACATCTAACAGCTCACAGTACGTTTGTACTGACACCCGGTGGCAAACTGTAGAAATACATAGCAAACCCCCATGAGCCAAGTGCTAAAAAGGAAACAAATGCTCCAGCGTTTGTTTTTTTTTCTAGTAACGTCAGCGGTCCCAGAGGATGCACTGCAGTTCCTCTGAGCAGCATTCACTTTTGCATTCTACCAACCACCTCAAACACTGACTAATTCTTGGAGCATCAACACATTTTTATGGACAAAATCCACATGCTTTTTAACCAACACATTTCAGAATAGTTTGGCCCAGCAGAAAGCTATCACCAAACTGATTTACCTTAAATGCAATAAAACAACATGCTAAGTGCTGGGACACACATCAAGTCAGGCTCCTTTTAGAGTCTCTCACCAACCACCACCACTACTCATGTGGAAAGAGTTTCTTACACTTTGCTTGCCCTACTACACCCACACACTTAAGACTTTGGATAAGAAACATTCTTGCTCTGAATGATCCATTTCTTCAGTGTGAAACAACCCCAAACTCACATTGTTAACCTCGGTAGCCTCTTGTCTTTTGTCTGCATTTTTTTCTTTCACTTTGCAGAGAATATAGCTATTCTACAACTATCGATTTAATCAGAGGTAAAGGCAAACCAAGCTCCATTATTATCAAATGGTAAAGCAATCACACAAGGGATGCTCTGAAAGTAATGCCTGCTGTTTTATGATGTTGGCCTACGACATCAGAGGCGGATGTTGGTGGAATGGCAGTAGAGGTTGAACCTTTCCACCAACATCCCATTACATTTTGTTGCCATGTGACAGATGGCAGCAGAGAGGCAGTCTGACACAGTGATGTCTGACATGGATGAAGCGGATGAAGCAAAGGTGTGTCTGAATTGCTCCATGCAGAAAAAAATGGCACTCACTGATATTCATTTACACTTGCTGAATGTTTATGGAGACCACACAGTGGACGTGAGCAGAAAGAGGTGGTGCATTTCAGCAGTGGTGACAGTGACAGTGGGTCACCTCCACTGCCGTATTTTGTTACAAGCATGGCAGGTAGGCACTTGTTCATCAGTGGCAAAAATGCATAGCTAATAGTGGTGGCTAACACAACATCCTCTATCAGTGTTATTGTGTGTGTTGTTGTAGTTTCCATGCAAATAAATAGGAGGCATTGCTTTTGGAGCACCTACATACAAAAATTCTGGGATTATATTCCCAAACTGCTTCTGCAAATGATTTTGCTGTTTCGTTGGAATAATGATACCAGCCTGCTGTTTCTTCCTAAATCACCTGTTTTTAGAAGTAGGAAGAAAAATTACTTCCCATCTGTTACTGTTTCAGAGGAATAATCCGTGAGAATGCACACAAGCCACTCTCCCGACGTTTTTATGTACAATTCTTCAGGTCCTGAGACTCCTATATTGAGGAAAAATACAAGATAAAAGCACGTAACGCATAACGCATCCTTTATGGTACACCAGCAAGAGATAGCGATTCTTCCGAGGATAAAACTTCAGCTCCTGAAGAGTTACGGCAGACTTGAAGAAGCGCCCGCCTCCCGCCCCTCTAACCCGGGAAGCGGAAGGGACTGAGGAACCCCGCTGAGCTGCCGTGGCGCCGTGGCTGTGCCCGCACAGCGTCGTCCCTCCCCGCGGTGAGTAGGAAATGGGGGGAGGAGACGCGATGGCGGCTGGGGGTGCGTCGCTTCGGTGCCTCGCGACGAGGCTTGCCGCCGTACCGGAGAACGGTGAGGGAGCTGTTGTGTTCGCTGAGCAATGGCGGCCCGGGCGGGCTGCGTTGAGGCGGGCTGCACTCGGCGGGCACGGAGGGCTCGGCTGAGGCATCTATAGGGAGCTGCTGGCTGAAAGCCGTGCTGCAGCTCAGTGGAGCGATATGCACCGAGCAGAACTGCATGGGTTGAGAGGGGGAGAATCGGTCCCATTTGTTCCCTTGGCCTTCCAGTTACCGAGGATAGCCTGCTGCAAGGAGGAGCACCTCTGACAGCCCAGCTTATGTACTAAGCACACGTCGGGGTTGGGCGGCACCAGCAGCCTCCAGAGGAAAGCATTTCAACTCACGGCAGTTTAAGAACTGGGAAGAGCACTGCTTTGGAAAGAGCATGACTGCATCATGACTGCAACCAGTAGTTCTTCCCTGTCACGACTGCGGGCTGTGCATGTAACACATTCAGCTCCACCAGCACATACAGGCCTTTTGCCCACTTTTCCATTGTTAAGACCATGGTGCTGCAGTCCTCATTCAAGAGCTGCCTGCCACTGTCGTGCCTTCTCAGGACTCCCAGAGCTGGCTTTGGAGGTGCAGCTAGTGGGGGGCTCATCATCCAGTCTCTGTCTAACGATGTTTACCAAAATCTAGCAGTGGAAGACTGGATCCATGACCACATGAATTTGGAGAACCGGCAAGTCCTTTTCCTGTGGAGAAATTCTCCAGCTGTGGTAATAGGAAGACACCAGAATCCCTGGCAGGAGTGCAACCTTCAGCTGATGAGGCAAAAGAACATAAAGCTAGCCCGGAGGAGGAGCGGGGGTGGGACGGTATACCATGACTTAGGCAATATCAATTTGACTTTCTTTACAACCAGGAAAAAATATGAGCGAATGGAAAACTTGAAACTAGTTGTGAAGGCACTGAAAGCCTTGCGGCCACAGTTAAATATCCATGTCACCGACAGGTATGACATCTTGCTAGATGGGCAGTACAAAATCTCAGGTACAGCTGCAAAGCTGGGGCGGACAACTGCTTATCACCACTGTACCTTACTCTGTAATGCCAATAAATGTGTTTTATCTTCTGTACTGAAGAGTCCTTATAAAGGACTGAAAAGTAATGCCACTCCCAGCGTGCCTGCCTCAGTGAAAAACCTCTTTGAAGAGGATCCTAGCTTAACTTGTGAGATGCTGCTGGATGCCATCACTGAAGAATATGCCACACAGCACAGAATAGATCATCACATCACCTTAATAAATCCAACTGATGAGACTGTGCTTCCTGGAATCAATGATAAATCTAAAGAACTACAAACCTGGGAATGGGTATATGGAAAGACACCGAAGTTCAGTGTTAGCACGTGTTTTAACATGATCTATAAAGATTCTGTTCTTAATGTTAAAGTGCACATGGATGTAAAGCACGGAAGAATTGAAGCCTGTGACATTGATCTGCCGCAGCAGTGGCTTCCACCAGCACTGTGCAGTGAGCTGGTGAAGAGCCTTACAGGCAGTAAGTTTTGCCCAAACGAAACCACTGCACTGTCAAGCACATTGCTGAGAATATGTCCACAAGACTATGAGTTGCACAGCAAGTGGAATCTGTTATGTGAGAATATGACAATGTTAATGTGATTTGTGTTGTGAAATTGTCAGATAAACTTCTGCTTTTTTAGGTTATTTATTAAAAACAAAATTAAAAGATTGATTTCTGTAAGCTTCTTTTCCTATCTGTTCGCCATTAAGCTTTTTAATGTTGTGCTTTTGTTTAGTATTACCTGCTTGCAACTAGATTTCACTCTGCCTGCACCTGAGGTCAAGCTGCAGAATACAGTAAGCCCCTGTAACAGGTAGCATCCCTTCATTGCTCCATGCTGACAGACATCATCACTGCTTGAAACAATATTCTGCAGGCCTCCCCCCTTGCATCTTTAGGAAAGAAGGTACAAATGGCAGATGGAGATTAGATGGGATAGATGGAAAACTGCTGCTGTGCTGCTGCACTTAATTCTTAGCCTGTATCTCATTCCCTGCAGATAGAAACTCAAAGACCATTCCTCAGCCCCTGAGCTGTGTAGAAAGGAATGTCCCCCTTGTTTCTGGTTGGAAATCCTGTCCTGCAGTGCTGGTGATCCTCTTCTCATATTTACAAGGGTGTTAGTAAGCTGCACTCGCAGCTGTCTCGCAGTTCCACACTGGATTGGGGGTTTGCACATGAATGTGCAGAAGAGGCAGGAGGGATTAGCAGTTGCAGCGTGGAGGATTATGTGATGTGGCAGCGGAGACTGAGATGTGGACCACATATGCCTCCTTTGTACCCAGGACAGTGATGGTGTTGTACAAACAGTGGATTCATTACCCCATGTGCAATGAGTCACATTCCCATGGACAGGAGAGATACTGCTTTTTATTCAGGCTATGATGCTGGTGGAAGTTTCCACAAATCAAGAACAATAATGCAAGTTTCTTCACTGTATTTATACATTAAATTCCTAAGTATTCTGCCAGAAGAGCCACCTACTACCTACATATTCATAAGCTTAAGCAATCATGATACTCCATCCCCTTCTGGCTACTTTCCTGGCCATCTGTGCTTGCACAGGGTTGTTGAGGGGTCTTACATGACCCTCATTGGTCATATAGGGAATGCTCCCCTTATCCTTTTTATCCTTTTATCATCACATTAGAACAAGCTGAACAGTTCTCTTACCAGTTTTCCAAGGGGAACAATTGTCATTGATTAATTGGGTAATATCAATGGCTAAGACATTGTGCTGTAGGATAAGCAGTACTTGATCAAAGGTTTCTTCAGTCATGTAGGGTCTGTTCAGCCTGGTGACAAGAAGGCTCTGGGGAGACCTGATAGTGGTCTTTCAGTATCTAAAGAGGAGCTATAAGAAAGAAGAGGACAGACTCTCTAGTAAGGTCTGTTGTGATAGGACAAGGGGAAATAGTTTCAAAATAAAAGATTTAGACTAGATCAAGTTTTTTTTTTTTTTTTTTTTTAATAAGAGTGGTGAGGCACTGGAACAGGTTGCCTGAGGTGATGGATGCTCCATCCCTGAAGACACTCATGATCAGGTTGGATGGGGCTCTGAGCAGGCTGATGTAGCTTTACGTGTCCTTGTTCATTACAGGAGAGTTGGACTAGATGATTCTTAAGGATCCCTTCCAACTCAAATGATTCTATGATTCTGTAAATTGATGTGTACGGCACAAGTGGGAAGATATTCTACATTACAATATGCACATGTAAACACAAACCTTAGAGAAAACAGCTTCCTCCTCCTACCACCTAACAGAAAACTTGCTAGTGGAAGGCAGTAGTGAACTGAAAGTGGCAGTTTTCAGGTTAAATCACAGTAATAATATAGAAGTACTATTCCTACAGAAAGGCTTGAGATTTATTTCCCTATTGTTACAGAGTAACCAGAATGCAATTTTGTCCAGGTCAGAATTGAAGCAGTTTATTGTTACAGCTGTAGGAGAGGACTCAGCGCAGCAAAGTGATGGGCTCTGCTGATAGGAGCTCTGCCCAGATGAGTCTGTTAGAGAGCTTTCTTTTAGGCTATACAACACTTTCACCAAACTGCCTTTGACTAGTACTTAAAATTTAAGTGGTGTGTTCACCAACTGAAAGAGACATAAATTCACCCTGTGGAGGTGCAAACACATTACAGTAAATTGCAGCTGGGGCACAATATGTAGTACAACTCCATTTATGTAGAGGTCTTTTCTAGAAGGTTAAGAGGGGCCATGAGACTCAAAAGCACCAAGTTCAGAAATGGAGCGCAGGGCTTGTTACTGGATGAGGTACTGAAACACCAATAATTTACCACTTCTGAAGAGAACTGGAGGAAAATCAGAACAAATAAAGCCGATTGAGAAAGCGTCAGAGACAGGTAGGCAAGAAACAATCTTGCTGTTAGGGCAAGATAAAAAAGGACCAGCACAAACAAAAGGACGTAAAGGAGCAATGATATTTATGTCCTTCAGGCTGCCCTAATTACATTTCTCAGACTGTGGCATGGAGGAAGAGACTTCCGTTCTTCCTCTTCTCCTGCTATAGTCTCTTACAGCTCCTCTACTTCTGCTAGTGTTTCCAGGAGCAAGATACTGAATTTGCAGTGCCATGAGTTTAGTCTCACTGTCTTTCTCCTGACATGTAATGCAGAGATAAGCATTGCTAACTAATTCAGTAAGAGGCTTAGTCTGCCACCAGACAGCAATAGATTGTAATTGCTCTTGAATTTCTGGCTATAAGCCTGCAACAAAGGCAGCTGCTACAACTGCTGGAGGTTTTTTAGCAGCATTGCCTATGCCAGAATGCCAGTTAAAAACTAACTTGAGGTAGTCCATGAAGGCTAGAAGGTATCCCCCCTTAATCTGTTTTGTATTTTGCCCCATTTTTCTTCAGGTGGGTCACCCAAAGATGATCTCCAGCTAACCCAAGTTCACTGTCACCCTGGAAGGCTAGCCTTTTCTGTTAATCACTGCTGGATTTCACAAGGCTTAAGAACTTTCTATCTTTCTATCAGCCCAACTTGGATTATACCAACTGATAACAGTTCACAGTTCTCTACATTTCTGAGTTTCTTCTCATGTATGGAAATCCTTTTGCTGTCTTATACCTTCAGAATTGTACAGGGTGTGAACAGTAACCACACCTCCTGGCCCCAGTGCTTGTTTTAAGGGTGCTATATCTCAGGTCCCAGCTGACAGCAGGTTCTACCAGCGACTGCAGAAATTCTTGGTATGTTCTGATAGTCTGATGATGCTTATGGCTCTGCTGATACTACAGAGGGTAAGGGGAGGTAAGAGGTACTTTTCTAACTGTCCTTTAAAACACTTTATCTTTCCATTTTTCCTGAGAGTCTCTCAAATTTCTGGAATTTTGGGATTCTATTTTTCTTTTGGATGCCTCCTTGTGCCAGCCAAAAAAATGTATGCCCCTGAGAAGAGAGTGCATTAGGTCCTCTGGACTCTAAGGTGCTCCACAAGTACACTGTTATATCTAAGTTGAAGATAAATTCAGTAGGACACTGCTCAAAGGTATTATCCTTGGTCCACGTCCCCTACAAAGACAGGCTGAGGGAGCTGGACTTGTTCAGCCTGGAGAAGAGAAGGCTGCGAGGAGACCTCACTGCAGCCTTCCAGTATTTAGAAGGGGATTATAAACAGGAAGGAAATTAACTTTTTACTTGGCAGACAGTGATAGGACAAGGGGGAATGGTTTTGAGCTCAAGGAGGAAAGGTTTAAATTGGATGTCAGGGGGAAGTTCTTCACAGAGAGAGTGATGAGGTGCTGGAACAGGCTGCCCAGAGAGGCTGTGGATGCTCCATCCCTGGAGGTGTTCAAGACCAGGCTGGATGGGGCACTGGGCAGCCTAGTCTAGTGCCAGATCTGGAGGCTTGCAACTCTGCCTGTGATAGGGAGTTTGAACTTGGTGACCCTTGGGATCCCTTCCAACCCAAGCCATTCTGTGATTCTATAATCCAGAAGTTCTACATGTTTTAGGAGAATAATGAATTACGTATACTGGAGTTTCTTTTGAGGGTGCTGGGACTTCTCCTGATTGTCTAATTCCCAATTCACTCATTCAGGGAGAGAAAGGCTATCAGCTCACAATTGCCGCTGCCAAAGTGACTATCCAGCCTGACAATAACCAGAGACTAAACAAAGACACCAGGGATCCTCCAGCTGAGTGTCTAGTCCAAACCTCACCATGTAGGTTTCAGTTGTTTACAAAATACAGAGGCTCATGGTAGAACCAGAAGCAGGGAAGGGGCTAATTGGTCCAGTAAGGACTGACTATTCTATAACCCTCTGGAGCAGCTCAGCTCAGGGTGACAGCATACCACTTCAGTGTCATCCACACTCACACCTATTCATAGGCAAACTAGACTTTCCTGACCTACCACTCCTTGATTTTACCAGAAATACAATTACCTTTCTCCCTTTTATTTTACCAGAATTTCAATCACTCTTCCCTCTTTTAGCTGGTACCAGGAGGTATAGCCCTGCCTCCACAATCCAGGTGTTGATCTAACTACATACATGAATGACAGCATAGAATATGACCAGAAATCAGTAAAATGATTGCAAACCCTGTGCTCTTACGTTGCTCTGATAAAATAAATGCTGAAGAGGGTAACTTTCTATTCACTGATGTCCATTTCTCTTCATATAGCATTCCTACTGACAAGTAAGGGAACTATGTAAAGATAAAAAACTTAGAAAAACTGCACTGCACTACAACAGGTATGCCACTGAGGGTCTGGAAGTATAGATATATACAGATACTTCATATTCAAAAGATCTGGAAAGAAATCAGTAGCCTTAGCTATTTTGCAGTCAGAAGCACAGGAAGGTCTACAAATGAAGAGAGAGAAGACCAGGGTTACCTCCTGTGGTACCAGTACAGGACCACATCACTGAGCTTACTGCTGGAATAAAGAAGCATATGGTATTACAGACAGAAAGCATAAGGCACCCATCAATCCTGAATTTAAAAGATCTCAATTGCTAACTGAGTACTAAGATTTAAAGTTGATCCAAAATATTGATGGCTTTTCATTTAGCCCCTGTATGTTTGAAATCTGGACTAGGTGAAAATAAGTAGGTGAAACACAAAGTTTCACATTCAGGATGCTTAATGTATTCACAGTGAACTTCTTCTCATCAATAGGTGATCTTGAGAGATCTTGAGAGACATCACCTGGCTTCTCGGACTTGTAGAAGAATTTAAACAGATGACTTAAATTACAAATAATAAAAAACAACCTTTATTCCCATTAAAAAAAAAGCAATGTTATATACAACTGAATAAAATCAATGACAGTAACTACACACATTATCTCAGCAGGAAGACAGGGACTTTCTATGGAATGTTTGGAGGGTCCTGGTAGCATACAGCTTCTGTGGCACAGAGTATTCTTTGTCTGATTCAACACTGAAAGACTGAGACAACTGAGAAAAAGATCAAGGCAGGCCACTGGCAAATTGTTACCCATAAAACAGGGCAAAGATCAGCAGTTTCTTGTAGATAGCTTTGGAATAGATCTATTCAGTTAGAGGCAAGACTTAAAGAGGGATAATGGAATACAACAGCCATAAGAAAAAAGAAGCAAGAAAGTTTTGGGTTATGCAACCTCTGGAGTAACTTAAAAAACATTATTACTATTTTTTTTTTTTAAAGGTGCTTAATAGCAGGGCAATAGCTTATTGCAGTTCTGAGTGGCATGACTAGAAGTACAGACACTGAACTTGCAAGTCAGGGGAAGACTGGGAGATGATCATACAACTTTTCCATGCCTAATGCAAAGTATAGAAATCAGATATATGACAATGCAGCAGGGAATAAAAGAACATACATGAGCGACACTGAAAAGAATACAGCTAGAACACTGCATCTTTTCTGCCCCAAATCCATCATTCAGAGAGATGTACAGGAAGACTCTAATATGTCTGCATACTGAACACTACAATGTTTGCATGCAAGAAGCTTAGAGAATGGAATGCTAGATATGGGGTTATTTGTAGTCTGTGAAACCAGGTATTATGGGATCAACTAAAACAACAGAACGGCAGTCATGAATAGAATGCGGGAATTCAAGGAAATACATAGGCTGCTTATAAAAGAGGACATGTGGGTTGAAATAGTAGCACAGCTTCAGATGTTTGTGAGGTGGTCAATTAAAGTTAAAACCCGCAAAGTTTCCTCAAGACAAGCAAAATTAATAGTAAAAGTAAAAATAACAGTAAAGAGGCCTTTAAGGTACATTATGTTATAAAACGCCTTCACCATAAACTTAAATTTAGACATGGGTTGTATTCTTTAAGATTACAGGATAAAAAAGTAGAGTGGAAGAATTGTACAGCTGTGTTTTCTTGGACTGTAAAGGCACAAATATTCTTCAATCTATGGATTATAAAAGCAGTGCTGGACCAAGTATCTGTTCCGGAGTGCTTCTGATGATGGACAGCTGGACCCAAGTGGTACAAATTTACATTTCTATGCTTATAAAAAACACTCATTAAAAGCAGTTACAGTTGATCACATTTTCTTTGTATGTTTAGTATGAAAGACATCCACTGTTGTTTCATGGCAAGGTCGCAAGTCAAAGTCACAGTATCCAATACTAAAACGACCCTATGGAAATTAAGAGAATTGACATGGGTAACACAGAATAAGCTATTCTACCATGGAAGTTAATTAAAGAGCTTTGAGTATTTTTACCTGTGGCCTCTTAAAATAATCAAGACCCCTTCCAATCTTAATCATCCATCCATTGTTGAACCTGTTATTAAAAATAAACAAATTTGAAAACCATGAGTACACCAAATTAAAAAAAAAAAAAAAAGAACAAACACATCTGCATGACTCTCCAGCTCCTTGTCTCAGCCACAACTGTTTCTTAGCATACCTGATACCTGTATGAACCATTCTGATACCTGCATGGAACACACTGCACTGTTCTGTATACTGAAAAAAAACATCTAATACATCTGATGTTCTCAGTTGGAACAGATGAAACTGGGGTGGACTAATTTTATCCAGTAAAGGGCACTGACTTCCATTTTGTTAGCTGTGGTTAGAAACTGTCTCAGAAACTAGGGTTAATTAGTTTAAATAACTGGAATTTTCACTGATTTTTTTAATATCACCCACCTAATTTCTCGATCATGGATTGAAGATGAAAATGCAACATTCAGTGTTATCCCATGATTCCTCAATGACTGTTTTATTTCTTCCAAGCCACTTGTCTGTTGATTTCTCCCACTCCCCTGTTAAAAATAAAGGTAACACTTTCTTTTAAAAAAACATATATTCTACTTTTGGTCACCGCTTCCTAAAATCCCCTACAAAACCTTTTTAGTAATAATTTAAACCCAAAGAAAGCCATCTGAGTGAGGGCAGATTTGCATTTTCATGGACAGGATAAGAAGCAGGCAGATTACAGGTACACTTGCTAAGGTATGTGGAGGAATATCTCACTCAACCCCTTAAAGCTAGACACAGATTACTCTTTTAGCCAGAATAAATGCAGGGATAGTTTGAAAGGTTTTAGCATACCAAAAGCTCTTAAATGAGTTATACAAGCAGTTGGAAAAGAAAAAAAGAAGTATCTCAACAGATTATTTGTTTTTTATAACATTTTCCACAAAAAAAAAAAAAAACTTTCACCAAAATAACTTCTCCATTTAAGATCCTGTTACCAAGAATTTGTTATGAAAAAAACTCTGAATTTAAGAAATTATTAATGTTCAGCTATCACAGTTTTTCCTCTTTATCTGTGATTTCTATTGAAGGCATTGAAGCCACTCTCAAACAAGTACTTGTAAACATGAATAAATTTATATTTAAATATAAACATTTATGTACACATCTACGCATGCTGGGTGCGCTTGCGTGGTGTTACCTGGATACAGAGAAATGGAAATTGAAACCTGGACACTTACTTCATCATAGGAAGTGAGGAGGTGGATTGTTCTCACTTTGCATGGCCCCTTAACCAGCATCTCACAGAATCGCAGGAAATTATACAACTGTAACAATTTTGTGTAATTCAGTAACTTGGGTTATTTTAGCTGCTACATCAACTAAAACACAGCAGAACAGCAGTCATGACTGGAATGCAGGACGAAATACATAGGCTACTTTTAAAAGAGGACATAGGGGTTGAAATGGTAGCACAGCTTCAGATGTTTATGACTTTATCGCTCTCTACAACAACCTGACAGGAGGTTGTGATGAGGTGGGGGTTGGCCTCATCTTCCAGGTAAGAGTAACAGGATGAGAAGGAATGGACTCAAGTTGTGTCGGGGAGGTTCAGGTTGGATATTAGGAAAAATTCTTTCTGAGAAAGAGTGATGAGGCAGTGGCACAGGCTGCCCAGGGAGGTGGTGCAGTCACCATCCCTGGGGGTGTTGAAGAAACACATAAACGTGGCACTGAGGGGCCTGGTCAGTGGGCAGGGTGGGGATGGGCTGGAGGTTGGACTGGATGATCTGAGAGGTCTTTTCCAACAGTACTGATTCTGTGATATGCAACACTCAATATCTACTTGCCTGATGGACTTGCCTAATGTAGGGGTCCTCCACCCATACTTCAGAAACAATCTCAGTCAGATACTCCTGGAAAAGCTTCTCATAGCCAAAACCTGTTGCATTTTCCTCTATCCTGATTTGCTTATGGTATTTGCCATCTGAAAAAAAAAAGAGAGGAGAGGAGAGGAGAGGAGAGGAGAGGAGAGGAGAGGAGAGGAGAGGAGACTTTTGTCAGTAAAATCATGACATAATCCCCAGGTAACATCAGACATTTAAATGTGAGCAAAACAGTGGTGGCTGCACACCTTGCTTCTCCTTCTCAATATACTTTTTTATGTCTTCAGCCCTGGTCATGTACTCGGATATTTTCTCCCGGTACCGCTGCTTCTTTGCCTCATCCTTCGTTCCTGCCAACCAGAACCGCAGAGATGAGCTCTCCCCGAGCCGGGGTCGGGGAAGGCTCGGACTCCACGGCCCCAGCCCCCTTCGGAGGCGAGAGGGGAGCGGGACGAGGCAGCCTCTCGACTCGCTTCTCCTCGCGGCCGGCGGTCTCCGGTCGAGCCCCGAGAGGGCCGCGGTCCAACAGCCGCACGCAGCGCGGTGTTAATGGCCGCACGGCCCCAGGCTCCCGCTCCCAGCCCGGTACCTTTCACCACCTGCAGCAGCAGGTCGATGCCCTCCTGGTAGCACACCAGGGACTCCTGGAAGCGAGACGCCAGGTCCAATTCCACCGCCCGCTTCACCGTCTCCGCCCCGGCCCGCTCCAGCGCGGCGGTGCCATCGCCCCCCGCCCGCGACATGGGCACGGCGACGGGCTGCGGGGACGGAGGAGGGGCCGCGGGGAAATCGAAACCGGGGCGGTGAGGCTGGCTGCGCTCCACCGTTGCCCTTCCTCCCTCGGAACCCAAACGCTGCGGTGGCGGTGCCCGGCCGGAAGGCTGCACACCGACATGGCGGCGGGCAGGGGCGGGTTGCGGCTCGGCGCTGCCTGGAAGGCGGTGAGGGGGTGGAGGGGGCGACCGTATGCTGGCATGGAGACCGTCCGGTCGGGGCGGCCGGGACTTTTGCTTACGGGGAGACGTGGCCGTTGGGAAGGCCTGCTGTTAGGGGGCTCTTGTGCAGACGCCATGAGATGTAGTTAATGGGGACTGCTTTGTTTTTGGTAGGTGCTGGGGAGAAGGCCGGAAGGGATCGTGGCCACGCCATGGGCTCGGCAGAAGTTCACCAAATCGAGAATTCCCGAGTCGGTACGTTCTGGCCTCCTAGAGGAGGCTGAAAGCCGTGGAATTATGGCGAAGAGATATTAGTCTGCTCGTTCTGCGCCTTCTGTGATGTGGCGGCTTTATTGACAGTGATTCTGAAGCCACAGAGAAGCTTGGTTTGTTTTGCATTGCAGCTTATGTTTCTGCAAGGCACTGTCAAGTTGCACTTGACTTTTCCTAAAGCTTCTTAAAGTTTCTTAGTCCTGTGACAAAACTTTTGACTCGTAAGCTAAACATTGGTTGTCTGTGAGATGCATGTGTCAAATGCTCTGCTATTACGGAACACCACGTATCTGTGCTGTCGTGTGGTCTAACTTAATGTATTAATTAGCAAACTGTTATAAGTTTCACAGTGCTATAAAAACTGCATTTGAACTTCTTTACTGCGACAGAGCAGTGGAACGGGCTGCAAAGAGAGGTTGTGTAGTCTCCTTCTATGGAGATACTTGAGAACCACCTTGAGACTTTCCTGCAGTCTGCTGTAGGGAACTGCTTTAGCAGGGTGGTGGACTCAATGATCTCCAGAGGACCCTTCTTATCCATATGGTTTTGTGATTCTATTGCTTGGCAAGTCGACCTTCTGAAAAGAAATTTAATTGCAGATCTTAGATTTTTACCAAGGTTGAAGTATGCTTTGGAGGGTTGAAAACTATGAACTTTTTGCTCTAGGTATTTCAGCCACGACCCGGAGATCATGAGAAGTACGGAGGTGACCCTGAGCAGCCCCACAAAGTCCATATTGTTACTAGGATAAAAAGTGTAATCGGTCGCCCATATTGGGAGAAGAAGGTCATACATGATCTTGGACTGGATAAGGTATGGAAGTTGTGGTTGTTCATACTCACAACATGCATCCAGGATGCAGAAATGCAGGGTAGAATTCAGATGTTGTTTTTTCTTGATTTTTCTTGTTGCTGTTGTGTGGGTCGTGTGTGTAAGAGCAGGTAAGAACAGTAATGAAAATTGCTCGCTTAGTAGGAATTCAGATTATGAATACATGGTATTGCTGTTGTGTCTGAGGAGAACTTTATCTTGAGAATTCTGCAGAAATAATAAAAACAGATTTGCAAATACTTCAAATTCAGCTTTCTCACTAGGTGATATTAAATGGATATTGCAAATAGACCTCATTTATTAATGAAAAGTCTTCTGAATCTAAAAAGTGTGATGAGTGCTCAAACAGTTTGAAGAGTTCGTGTCAGATTTATTCAATTTTTTTTAGGTAGAATCGCACTTTGTGCAAAAATTCATTTATTCGATATTGTATTTTGGAGGGGAAAAAAGTGATGAGTTTAAGGCCTAACTGAAGCAAGTCTTACACTGTATTTATGTGTAGGCATTTCTAACATTTGGAAGAAATTTGAATATATTGATAATGTAGTGGGAATAAAGCTGAAATTGGCATTTTACTGGAATCATGAGTTTGATCAAGCTTTGACTTCATATTTTCATGTATGCTCATAATATATCAGTATTATTTCTCCAAATCTAAATTTGCAAATGTGGTTTATATTTTACTGAAAAGTTTGGTGAACAGAGATTTGTACTTTGGAACTGTATTTTTAAAACCAATACTATCCTTTATATAGGCACATCAACCAAGACTGCACAAAAATATCCCTTCTGTGAATTCCAGACTGAAAGTTGTTAAACATCTGATAAGGTTTGTTAGCTATGTGTTTAATTTGGAATACTAATATAATTCCATTCTAGTCCTAGAACCTTACTAAGCACACTCTTCTATATCCGTAGAATACAGCCGTTGAAACTACCATATGGATTGCCAACAGAAGAGGAAATGGCAGACTCCTTTCTTACGAGCAAGGGAGAGCTTATCATTAAACAGCGTCTGAAACCTGTGGAGCAGGAAGAAATTAAATCATAAGGTGTGCTGGTCGGAATTATGTTTTCTAAAATAAATAATTTAAGTCCCGAGTTAAGAGCTTGTGTATGAAATGGAAGCTGGTATGTAAATAGAACAGATCTAACTAATGATAGTGTGTTTTGCAGCTAACAGCAAAGGTTTGCAATGAGGGTGCTTGGCTTCACCTTTGCTACACTTAAAAAAGAACAGGAATTTAAAAGATTTTTTGATCATGAGTTGCCTGAGAACTGACTGACTGTCTGTTCAGAGCTCAATTTATTGATGCAGGCATTTGAGTGGCTTACCTGTTATTCAAATCTCGCATTTGTTTCTTAGCAGGCAGTTTCATCTGGCCTCCCCTGTATCTTGAATAGAATTGTAGAATCACATGATTTGGGCCGGAAGGGACCTCACAGCCCACTCAGCCCCACCCCCACCATGGGCAGGGCTGCCCCCCACCAGCTCAGGCTGCCCAGGGCCCCATCCAACCTGGCCTTGAGCCCTTCCAAGGATGGGGCACCACAGCTTCTCTGAGCAGCCTGTGCCAGGGCCTAATCAGTCTGAGTAAGAAATTTCTTCCTAAAATCCAACTTAAACCTCCCCTCTTTTAGTTTAAAACCATTCCCCCTTCTCCTATCACTATTAGACCATGTAAAAAGTAAGTTTCTCGCCGTTTAAGTATTGGAAGGCCACAATGAGGGCTCTCCGGAGCTTTTTCTTCTCCAAGCTAAACAGGCCCGACTCCCTCAACCTTTCTTCATAGAAGATGTGCTCCGGCACTATGATCATCTTTGTGTCTCTTCTCTGGACCTGCTCCAACAGTTCTGCATCCTTGTGCTGGAGGCCCCAGACTGGGGGGAGAAGGAGGGGCTTATGGTTGGAGAGCAGAGGGGAACAGTCACCTCCTCACCCTGATGGCTAGCCTTCTTTTGATTTCACTTTTTAAAATTGTAATAGCCTATGAGCTGTAGTCTTTATGAAGGTTAATGATTTTCACATGCTAACAGAAATTTGGAAACCCTAAAGCATATTTGTTTGATACAAATTAGCAGCTATGAGCTCCAAGCATATAAAATAAGACCTTTCACTGGAGTGTCTTGAATAGTACTGTGCGCAATGATTTAAAGACTGGTTTTATTTACTATTTAAGAATTGTGGCTAAAATTAGGAAGCTGCTGCTATATCAAGTGATAAAGTAGTTTTCATTCCAGCAAGCATAAATTCCGTCATTTATTGTGCTATGAGCCTCTCCCACACTAGAGAGCTAATCTTAATTACTGTATGTTGTGGGAAGATCAGAGGGATACAGCAGCTGAAAACAAATGTTTATCCTTTCTGCATGCTTGCAGGGAAGAGTAAAAGCCTGTAGAAGTTCTAAGGAGTGTACATTATCAGTAGAAGGACATAACAGCTAGATATACTGTGTGCAGAAGAAAGGCAAAGAAGGATAGGATATAGTAGTACATTGAAGGGTGAGATGACTCCTAAAGGCAAGCCAAAGACAGACATGGGTTGAGCTGAAAAACCTCAGTTTCTCAACAAACTGCAGGCTGCAGTCAGGACACAGAAAAGACTGAAGGATGTAGAGTAGCAAGGGAAAAAATGAGATAGATAAATTGTGTGTTGTTTTTTTTTCTTCTCTCTCCTTCGTTTCATTGTCTGTACAGCATCTTGTGCTATGGTGTAACTGCAGTCTGTATGGTGGTTTCTGTGTTCCTACAGAGAGGTGCTTGGTAAAGCTGAAATTTCAGCCCTTGTGGAGGACGTGTTGTTCATCAGCCTTGTTGTTGAGGGACAGCAGTTACAAGGTCTGCTCTAGGAATGGTAGCCTGAACTGACAAAGCCAGGGATTCTAAAGTCTTAACAAGTGTGTTTGGGATGTGTCTGCAGCAGTGCAGCCTGGTGAAATCTCCAACAGAGGGTGCAATGCCAATTTTGTTTTGCACAACATATACAAATACAGGATCTCTCTCCATTACTATACAGATTTCTCAATTCACTTTACAGACACTGCAACCTTCAAAAGTACTGAAACGTAAACTGAAAAAAATGTATTAATGACCAGGCTTGCTTAGTACTGTGCACAGATTATGTATTTGATAAACTGCCTATGATAGAGCAGTGCCAATCCCTGCTTCCCAAGTACAGAGAATGGAAAACACTTTTGGACAGTACCTGTTGTTTATAGGTAAGATTTAGCTACAAGAAATGTCTGCCATCGACAGACTGTCAGTTTTCATGAAGAAAGAAATTACATTTTCTTAAAATTTTTAACGTATGTGTAAGTTTGGTTGTTTCTGAAATACTATTTGCTCTAAAGTTACAACAGCTTGCAGTGAGATTTTCCCATATTTTCTGTGTATAAACATATGTTTTCTAAAGATTTATCCTCAGGTGTAAAACTTGAGCCGAACAAAGTACAAAAACCTACTGTGTGTTAACATAACTTCATTAATGGAGCATTGTCCCCATGTAAATCTTCCTGAAGCACAGGTAAGAGATGCAGGCTTTTTGCATAGGGAACAAAGAAGCTGACTTAAGATGGGAGGAAAATTCAGGTTGGAAGGTACCTTGCAGGTCTTTGGTCCAATGTCCTGCTCTACAGCTCAGCTATGTTCATGGGGGAAAAATTTATATGCAGAATACAGTCTTACCCTGTGTGAGCCTCTTTTTCAGCTTACGCCTGTTGTTGTTTATCCTCCCACCTTGCATCACTGTGAGGAACTTGGCTCCATCCCCTCCATTATCCTCACAGATATGAGCATTCCCTCCCAAAGCTGTCCTTCCTCATGAGACAAGTCCTCCAGCCCCAAACACCTTGGGGGCTCTCTGCTGCCAACCTCACCCTACTTAATTTGTCTTTCCTGTGCCCAAAACAGCTCTGTTCTAGAAGTGAACTAGAAAGTGCTCAGCAGATGCAAGTTATCTCTTCCTTCAGTGGAGCTGTGCTTTTGTTCATACAGTCCAGGGTGTCTTTAGCCTCCTTGGCTACTTGGGCACATTGCTAGCTTGTGTTAGGCTTGCTTGTTGGACAGGATTGATTCACTGTGTCTGCTTGCCATAGAACTTGAAATATATTCAAATGAATCAAACAAATCTTTGGTGCAATGTCTGGTACCAATACAGAAACGTACATATGTAGAAATGTGCTATTTTAAGAAGATTTTTAAAAATTCTTTTGCTAAGGATATTTTAAATGACAAATATATCTGTAACAGAACTATAAAAATGCATGGTTGAAAAACCCCCACAGTATTCATTATCTTTTGTAGCTCCTAGTGATACGCTTGCTGCTTTTCTTTTAGCTGCTCTAAACTTCTTTCTTTTCTCCCCTTTGTCTTGAAATGACTGATTAAAACCAACAGCTCTGAAGCTAAGGCTCTCCAAATACTCCAAATGTATGTGTTTGATAATAGAGCAATAAATCTAAGAGGGAGTGACACACTGAGATACACTCTTGTAGGAGATTAAAAGTATACGGTACTTTTGTATACATCTAGGTATATTGCAAGTACCGGTGTTTGCCTTCAGTGATTTGCTCTGCTGAGGTGAAAAAGAATAAATAAAAGGTAGCTAATAATCCAAACTGTAACCTATCTTTTGCCATTTTTTTTCACTTCACAAAAAGATTCAAGCAGTTTTCATCTCTTGTAATTTCTCAGGCAGCAAATTAATGCTGCAGAAAGGAGTCGTAATGCTGTTTAACAGGAGCAACTTTAGATTTTATTGATCAATACACATGTCTAACAGCAGTACAAAATAGGCAACAAAATCACCTACTGACTAATGATTTGCAGTTTTGGTAATGTAAAAGTATTTGCCATAAGTATTGTATAATTACTCTGATGTCTTTCTCAGTATCCATGTCTCTGAAAGAACTTGGCTCTTGCAACCACATCGTTGGCATAATCATTGTGTGTTGTGCCAATGTCCATTCCTTCATAGGTCCGGACATTTCTCGTTCCTGCATTATATGCTGAAATCCCACCTGAAATGAGAAAGAAACACTCGAACAAAGGTAGTATTTCCTCAGAAAACAAACAAACAAAAATCACAACCTAAGTGTATCGCTTGAGTTTCTAGGTGTCTTTTTACCAGTATTTTTTAGCCACAGTGTTACCATTTTCAGCTGTTTTCATCACCGAGGTGTTTCATTTGCATTTTAGCATTGTTAAGAAATTACAGTTTACAGGCTTGGTGATCATTGTTTCTTTGCTTTATTTTGCAAATCGAACATCTTCAGTTGTAGTATTGCTTCCTTTTGTGATGTTGATAACATCAGGTACGTTTGTATCATAGTTGGCCCATGAAGGGCCCAACCATAATGATGGCTTCAGCTGTGATCAGTGCCTGGGAATGAACCATGTTTCCTTCAGTGAGAACCATACAGTTCAGAAATTGATACAGTCTCTCTTTGGAGTTGTAAGATGACAGTTTTTTATAAGTAGGTATAGAAATACAAAAAAAAGCAAATGGGCAGATGGGGAAGAAAAAAACACCTTACTCCTTGAAGCTGAAAACAATGATATTCGTCAAGTTTTCCAAAAGCTTGCTAGAAAGATAATGACGTTTTTCCTTTTAGTGAGTATCATTAAATATTATTCCACACACTAATAAAACTAACAGGGGAACCAGGATGTGTTTAGTTTTCTAAGTGCTTGATTCAACAGCGTTACCATTCTTGACTTTTATATGTATAGATTGTTATAAAGTTGACGGTTTAAAGCTGATAAAGACCTACCTTTGAGCTGCTGTTCCTTACTCCATGTTGGGAATTTTTTCTGAATATCAATTATTGACTGACACAAAATGTCTGTGCCTTGTTTTATGTGCTCTTCACTGTTCCATGCCCCATGAGTCTGGTGGTACCGTTTGTCAACCTGGAAGACAGGAATATCAACACACGAGATAAATGTTATTTGTTTAGAGTTCTTCAGCACTTTTAGGCTGCCTGTACTCATTTTGACCTTTACCTGTTCTGATAAGAAAGAGCAAGTGAGCTCAGCCCAAGGCAGGAGCAAAGCCAGCAGATATATGAACAGCAAACTATGGGGGCAGTGGGCAGGAGTGTCTTTCCCACCTCTATCAGAGCCTTATAAAACTTAGGTAACTGTTGCTGCAAAGGTGCCAAAAGCCATGTTACTGCTGCATAAGCTTTTTCAGCTGCAAGACAACTCTCCTGTCCTCCCCATCTGCACCAAGGGTGCCCAAAATGTTGTTTCCCTTGGGGTGACTCCTGGCTCCATCCCTGTTCTCTTCCCAGGACTGCAGGAGTAGCATTGCATCTTACCCACAACACAGTGCAGCCCTGAGAGGGCTGGAGCTTTTATGACAGTGTATCTGAACACATGAAGCAAATGTTTATGGTTGTATGCAAGTTGGCAAACTAGTGAGGCATGAATAATGAAGCAAGACCCCTACTAACTGAGTTCCTGTG